ATATATATCCAGATATATATATATATTATATATATCCATATATATATATATTATATATATCCATATATATATTATATATATCCATATATATATATATTATATATATCCATATATATATATATTATATATATCCATATATATATATATTATATACCCATATATATATATTATATATATCCATATATATATATATCCATATATATATATCCATATATATATATATATATCCATATATATATCCATATATATATATCCATATATATATATCCATATATATATTATATATATCCATATATATATATCCATATATATATCCATATATATATTATATATATCCATATATATATATTATATATATCCATATATATATATTCTATATCAATATAAAAATATATTATATATATCCATATAGATATATATATTATATATCCATATATATATATCCATATATATATATATTATATATATCCATATATATATGTATTATATATATATCCATATATATATCCATATATATATATCCATATATATTATATATATCCATATATATATTATATATATCCATATATATATAATATATATCCATATATATATATTATATATATCCATATATATATATTTTTTATATATCCATATTATATATATTCATATATATATATATATTATATATATTATATATATCCATATATATATATATCCATATATATATATCCATATATATATATTATATATATCCATATATATATAATATATCCATATATATATATATATCCATATATATATATATATTATATCCATATATATATCCATATATATATTGTATATATCCATATATATATATCCATATATATATATATATCCATATATATATATCCATATATATATCCATATATATATATTATATATCCATATATATATATATATCCATATATATATATATATATCCATATATATATATCCATATATATATCCATATATATATCCATAATCCATATATATATATATCCATATATATATATATATCCATATATATATATGGATTTCTATGGGTTATAATGGATTCATATGGGTTTAGATCTGTAAAAAAATGGATTTCTAATAGGTTGATGATGGCTTTGATGTGGACTTCTCTGGATTTGGCTTAAAGAAAAAGTTTAGAATCGACCAATAGTGGTCTTTTGGATTTATGATGGCTTAAGATGGCTTACCATGGAGCAATATGTGTACTGGAATCATGATGGAAGTAGTATGGATTTCTGATGGATTTCTAGTGGCTTGGGACATAGCCCCACGCACAAAAACCTGCAAAAAAAACAAAAGAAATGATCGAAGTAGACATCACTTGAAGCACATCCTGACATTTTTACCATAAATGATGTGCGAAGTAGATAAAAAAATAGGTGTCCTATATTTTAGTGGGTATATCATACGGTATATTCCCAAATCATCCAAAAATGTTCAAACACAGCAAAAAGAACAAAAAAAAAGTAGTAGTAGTAGTAGGAGTAGTACTAGTAGTAGTAGTAGTAATAGTAATAGTAGCAGTGGTAGTAGTAGCAGTGGTAGTAGTAGTAGTAGTAGTAGCAGTGGTAGTAGTAGTAGTAGTAGTAGCAGTGATAGTAGTAGTAGTAGTAGCAGTAGTAGTAGTAGCAGTGGTAGTAGTAGTAGTAGTAGCAGTGGTAGTAGTGGTAGTAGTAGTAGTAGCAGTGGTGGTAGCAGTAGTAGTAGTAGCAGTGGTAGTAGTAGTAGTAGTAGCAGTGGTAGTAGTGGTAGTAGTAGTAGTAGTAGCAGTGGTGGTAGTAGTAGTAGTAGTAGTAATAGTAATATTAATAGTAATAGTAATGATAGTAGTAATGCTCATAGAGATAAATAGTGAACCAACCATGGATCTCAATGCACCGCTGCACCACGTCGTGTCTGCGGACTGCGCCTGGAAGGCATCTGCCGTCACTTTGGCCAGTTCTCTACCTCCATGCTGGCCACACTTCACCTCACCAAAATCGGTCACCAGGGCCTTCCACGGGTGGAATCCAAGGGTTGATAGTGGTATGATATATATATATATACATATTCTTATTAATATTAAAAATCAATGTTGTTACTATTATTATCAATTATCATTATCAGTATATATAACGGTATAAATGGTTTAATGATATAATTTATATGATGATTGATCTTTTTTGTGGTATGATACAATGGGAGCATCACCGGTTCGATGAGTTGGTGCTTTTTGCTTCTCCAACTTGGTCGAAGATGTCAGGATAGACAGGGGATCAAACTGATAAAACGATCTGAAATTCACATGTCAGATATCCTTGAAGTTGGTTGGTTTCTGCAAAAGATATGAGAAGTTGACTGAAATCACACGCTTAAGCGTGCCAAACTCCTACATGTCGAAAAACTGCCATATTAAACTGCCTTTGCCAAGATGTATCCAGTCATTTCCCACTGTCAAATCCCTATGGTTGTTGGTAGATATCCTCATTATTAGTGATACTTATGCAGCTGATTACCAACCATTTCATGCTCCATTACTACCAAGTCGCGAATAGTACCCACCACTCTCATCTTATATACTATCAGCGGCAAATATTCCCATTACTAGTGTTAAATATCTGCATGATTCCCAATCATATCCCACAATTGTCATGCTAATTGCTCCATTTATCTGCATTCTGAGTGGTTAATCAGAAAAATTATTCCCATTACCAAGGTAGAATGATATGGGAAAGATATATTAATGGCAATAATATATACGCGTGTTTTTTCTTTTAATGGATATTCTAAAAATACCATCGGTTGATCAAACATGGCGTGCTGGAGCCTTTCCACCATCTAGTTCCATGATGCTCCCATTCAAATTCCCATTTAAGTATCCATTTGTAGGGGAAAATCCAAGCTTGCCATGTTTGACTAATCGAGTTGGGAAACGCTTGGTTTGCTATCCCATGATAAACCCTATTCAACACCGTTAAATACAATTACTGAATGTAGGGATCTTGACACTGGAGGGCAATTTCCTCTGATTATTTAACGGTTTGCAAAATAGAAAATCACCATGAATAAATCATATATATATATACATATATCATACATACATACATACATACATAAATACATACATATATATATGTACAACATTGTCTATATCTAGATTAAATAACCAGAGTCGGTAGATATAGAGATTTCATACATATTATCAATTAGTAACATACATCATCTCTAGATACCGAGGCAAACTCCCAGCTGACCTTACTACACCAAGTCGCAAAGGACCTCAGAAACCGTTGCAAGCCTCAGCTGAGAGTGGAGAAAAAAGTGGAGTTTCACCGGTAAAGACATGATTAAGGAAAGTGGAGAATCCCATATGGACCAAATGGATAAATTATTGTTGGTTATCTTTGGTTACTGTTGGTTATATAGTCGTTACTGTTGATTATCATGTACTCGATTCGTAGCTACTGGCCCACCATTTAGGGAATGTGATGATGTGACCACCTGATGGCATCCCATGTCTATGTTGGGGAAGGATTTTTTGCGTCAAGCGGGCGAATGGGAATTCAGTAGGGGTTTTACCATCTGGTTATGACATTCACAGTTTGCGAACTGGAAAGATCCACCATTTGATAGCTAGGTAAACTTTGGTAAACCATCTATTTCTATGGGCCATCTATTTTCCATGGCAAACTGTTAGTCATAACCAGATGGTAACGGGCAATTGTAATGGGGATTCGGAATTTCAACGGACAATTCTTCCGAACAAAGCCTTTGGGGATCGAGTTGGGTTTCTGCCGGGATTCTGTCGAGAATGAGGAGTTGTGGTAAGTGTTTTACCACAAAAAAGTCTTGTTGGGAAAACACATACCACAATCCAAGAATGTAGAATTCATCACATGAATCATAAAACATCATAAAACATCATAAAACGTCATAAAACATCATAAAACATCATAAAACATCATAAAACATCATAAAACATCATAAAACATCATAAAACATCATAAAACATCATAAAACATCATAAAACATCATAAAACATCATAAAACATCATAAAACATCATAAAACATCGTAAAACATCGTAAAACATCATAAAACATCATAAAACATCATAAAACATCATAAAACATCATAAAACATCATAAAACATCATAAAACATCATAAAACATCATAAAACATCGTAAAACATCATAAAACATCATAAAACATCATAAAACCATATCAAACCCGTCATTCCAACATCATTTCGACATCAGTTTTTGGGGGGCCCTTGCCCATCCACTGGGAGGAGCGGCGAAAGGCTTGCTCCGAGCTGATGCGCGACAACTTCGGCGTCCTGATCTCGAAAGGAATGGCACGGTGGAGCGAAAGTGATGGAGCTGTGGCAAACCCCCATCTGGAAGACTGAGGCCCTGGTGGTTTACCTGGTTTGCCTACCCCCTGAAAAATGATGGAGTTCGTCAAATTGGATCATCATCCCAACTATTGGGGAAAATAAAAAATGTTCCAAACCACCAACCAAGTTCGAATAAAACTGAGCAAAGTCCTCACAAAATAGTAATGACTGTTCTATCAAGTTCTATCTGAGGGTTACTATAACTATCGACAGTGACGGATCCAGAAATATCATGGCATGAAGTGTATGGATCATGGATCACATAAGATCAAGGATAAACAAAAATGTGAGGTAGTCTTCAAAAAACACGGGCAGAAAAAACCTGCAACTATGGGGATAGCATGAAAATGGCCATAACACATTCCTCTGTCCTCTCCGAAAGGTGGAATCGGTCACCGGGGTCACCCGTCGACACTTTTTGATGTCGTTTTCTGGCCAGGACATATCCGGCTGGCTATGAAACGAATTTTTGAACCAGATTGGATTTCATGGAATTGGAAAGTCCAGCTTGTAGGATTTCAACCTGTCTTCGAGCAAACGTGTAAGAGAACCAACTTGGAAAATGTTGGATACTTCACCAACCATGGTGCTGTGACTTCATTCAAGAAGAAATTTGACATGTTTGTTTCAAGCTGATTTTCAACCAACAACTTTGCCCATGTCCGACCCGTGTCCCTTTCTTGCAGCCACGCAACCCTTGGTTGGCCGCGGGCCCAGCCTCAAGTGCACGTGGGATGGATGAGAAGTTCAGAGCATTGTTTCAATCCCCACTGCAGGTGAAATTCCCATGTCTACCATCTAAATCTGCAAAATCACATGGAAATCCATAGAAACCAATGGAAATCCATCTAAATCACATGACTTTCCATATGTGTTACATCCATTTTGCTGCTTGAATCCCTACATTTTGCCACGAAAACCACCTGGGTGTCCTTGGAAAAATCCGCCAGGGCGCTCGCAGGGCCTGCGCCTTGCGAATCCGTTGGTGGCATTCCTGACGCCGGACCTTCAAGAAGGAGGAACGGTGCTCCAAGTAGTTCCAGCCTCAGGGCTAATGAGATATGGGAAAATGGTGATGTTATTTGGGAATCTATAATATATATATATAATATGTATGTATGCATTTATTTATTGATTTATATATTCATTCATTCATTTATTTAATTTATGTATGATGATGATATGATGATGATATGGGATATTTATCAGGGTTCAGATAAGGGGGGAGGAGTTGTGCAGATGGTTTTGGTAGATACAGAGCGGAATGCATAGGTGCACAACTACAAAATGCAGTGCATGTTACTTTTTTTGCAGCTACAAAATGAAGAACATAACTCTTTCTGGCTCGGAAAATAATTCAAAACCAGTACTACAAAATCCAATGCATCTGAAGTTAAAAAATAGCTGAACGTCGGAATTGCTAACATGATTTTTTCCCAATGACATTTTGTAGTTGGGTCTTTGCCATCCAAAGTTCCGACCAACATAAATTCGGAGAACATTTTGTAGTTGTCAATGATTGAATTTAGTTGGATCAAGTGTTGACCCCGTGCAGTTTGTTAGATGGCATTATGTAGCTTCATGATCTGTTCATGTTACATTTTAAATCATGTTAATTATAGTTTATATCATTTTATGAATGTTTCAACTTCCTCAACATAAATACAACTACAAAATGCAAATGAATGCAAATGAGATTTTATGTTGGATGCTTCAACTATTCAACCTGTACAGCTACAAAATGCAAATGAAATCTTATGCTGGATGCTTCAACTATTCAACTTGTACAACTACAAAATGCTAATGAAATTTTATTTTGGATGCTTCAACTAACTCAACATATACAACTACAAAATGAAAATGATGATTTGAAAGGAATCAACTACAAAATGATTCCAAATACAAAATGGGGGGCACACCCCCTCCTGTTTGTACAAAAAAATCCCGGCTGGCAATCTGTACTGTAGCCCAAGTCCTCCCCATTTCGTAGCTGAAATTTGAAGGTGGATGGATATTTTGTGATGTTAATCTACAATGTTCTCCGCAAATTGTTGGGGATTTCTTGGGCATAACTATAGCAATTTGCTGGATTTGATGGTGATTCAACTCATGATTAGGTGTGCCAAAGTTGGGAAAATCTAAGAAAATATAGGGATGTCATCTTGATTTAGCTGACTGAACCAGTATTGGGACCATCATAAGCGGCAAAAAACGAAAATCGATCCAACAAAATGTGGAGATGTCAACACATAACACATGTTCCATGGAAAAAAATATTGATTTCACCATCCAACATGAAGATCGAATCGCAATAAGTCCTCCAGATGTCCTCAAGTCCTCTTGAACCCCATCACCCGAGACTCAAATTTTCATGTGGAGATGGGGCTCAAAATCCCAAATCCGGAAGTGGTCGCGCTGTTTGTTCAACCATGAAAGTTTTTGGCAACCAATATCCGAACCCCTACCCATGTCAATCTATCCATCATCTCTTTACATGCAAATGTATATATATATACACACACACTGGTAGGACAAAAGTTGCGCTTGTTGAGCTTCCCACAGTGAACATGTTTGGTTTCTTCTTCTGCACATCCTTTCCCCGTAGAATCCTAGCGTGGAGCTTTGTCGTACCCCGGTCGCATTTCCACCCTCCAAAAGCTTTAAAATCTTATATATTTAGAAGAGGGTGACCGTCCCACACCTGCCACACAAAACGGACTTGAAAATGTGATCCGGAGTTGACCGAGACGGATGTCTTGTAAAGCTTTCAAGAAGCATAAACTTTGTTCCTCTTGAAGTATACATATATGTGTGTATGTGTGTGTGTGAGTCGCATATGTATAGGATCTACTATAAACTATTGATACAGAATACACATTGAACAATATATATCACATTGATTGTCGTCTCCCCATCTTGGGGGGTGGCATCCGTGTTTTTTTCAAGGCACAGCGCGCATTCACGTCCATCACTCGGTCCATGGGGCCCACAGGCCGCTCCTGGCGTTGATCACATACGTCACATACGATGATTTGTAAGTTATGTAAGTCAATCCAAAAAATGATATACATGTATATATACATATATATATGAGAATATATATAATATATATAATATATATAATATATATAATATATATAATATATATATAATATATATAATATATATCGAGGAGAGGAATAGGAGAGGAAGATATAGAGAAGAGAGAGTAGAGAGAAATAGAGTATAAGTATATAGAATAACGAATATAGGATAATATCTATAATATATAGGAAGGATAGTAAAAGAGATGAAGAATTATGTAATAGATATAATATATATATAATATATATAATAGATATAATAGATATAATGATAGAAGATTAGAAATCGAGAAGAGAGGAATATAGAGTAATATATAAGATGAGAATACGATTGTATGAAGATAAAATAGAATTATAGAGAATAGAAAGATCAGATGAAGCAAAGAGAAGGAGTATATAATAGACATACTATCGTAAGATATATAAATAGATGAAGAGAATGAATATACTTAGAAGATATATAATAGAGGAGAATATATTCAGAGTTAATAGAGATATGAAAGAGCGAACTTATGAATATAGATAATATAATACTAGATATAATAAGATATATAATAAATAGAATATAATATATATACTATATAATATAATATATATACTATATAATATAATATAATATATATAATATAATATAAATATAATATAATATAATATGATATAATATAATATAATATATGTATAATATAGAGAATATAATATAATATATATATAATATAATATATATATATACATATGATATATATATAGTATATAATATATAATATATAATATAATATAATATAATATAATATAATATATATATATATACATATGATATATATATAATATATATAATATAATATATATATATAATATAATATAATATAATATAATATAATATAATATATATATATATACATATGATATATATATAATATATATATAATATATAATATATAATATATAATATATATAATACATAATATATAATATATAATATATAATATATAATATATAATATATAATATGTATATATATATATTGCACATAAGATTATGTGTTTTTTTAAAGTTGGACCGGCCTGATCCTTTCTCTTGCTGGTTGTTCATTGGTCGATCTACGGGAAATGCGCTGGTCTTTGCCATTCTTTTTTGGGGGTACCTCTGCATCTGTCAAGGTAAATCCCCCCACCTTTGGACCAAACCATATAATATTGTTGGTTATTGTTGGTTATTGTTGGTTATTGTTGGCTACTGTTGGTTGTTGTTGGTTATTGTTGGCTACTTTTGGTTATTGTTGGTTATTGTTGGTTATATCATATTCATAACATCATTTTTTCTCAAGTGCTAGGTCCGAGGGTGAACCAGAGGTCAGCAGCAGTATTCCCCTAGCTGGTTCACCAAGTGATGGGTGTGTGGGAAATTCTGAAACTGGTAAAACGCCATGAGAACGCAAGTTGCACCATAGTCAAAAACATATGTTTTGGAATACTGTTAACATCATTTTATTTGTGCAAATCCCATTGTGAACGCAGCTTTCATGGGGGTCATGAAAATATACGCTATGGAATATCTTTGGCTGCATTTAATAAAGGAAAACCTATTGTGAACGCAGATTAATCAGGATCGTGAAAAGAGCCTTACGGGCGTCGTCATTGAATCTAGATTTTTTGTGGTTTCCGGTGCCAACCCCATTGTGTGGGAATATCAAAACACAAGTTTGGGGGCATGCTTAAATCTGCCTCTAGCTGCATATGCCTGGCCTGGCGAATTTAACGAGGTCCTAAGGAGGTACGAACGAGGTCCAATGTGCTCACTTGCTCCATCCCTCTCTCACTTTCTTTCCCTTTCCCTTTTTTCTTTTCTTTTCTCTTCTTTCCTCTATTTTGCTGTTCTTTCCTTTTCTTTCCTTTCTTTTCCTGTTCTTTCCTTTTTTTCCTTTCTTTTCCTTTTCTTTCCTTTTCTTCGCTTTCTTTCCTTTTCGTCCCCCTTTCTTTCATTGTCTTTCTTTATTTCTTACTTTCTTCTGGACGTTGACGTTTCAGCAAAATGTAATTCTATGACTGCTCCCGTGCACGTGAACGCAAGATGGAGCGACTTTACCTGAAGCTTCCCCCAAGCTAATCGCAACATTTATCCAGAGTCGGAGCGACTTCAACAGGTTTGAGTATGGGATGCTTCTAGCGCAATGACAGGCCAATGGGCGACCCGGCGCCTCTGGGAAAAGGTGAAGTAAGGAGGGGAGGATGGCGGAGAAAATGACCAAGAAACCTGGAGTCAGAGATATGAATAGAGGATAGAATGCAATATATGTATGTATATATATATTCTACATCCCACATACTTTCCTCATCTTCTTTTGGTGGATTTCTTCCCCTTCGCTTCGCCGAACGCCCTCCTTGATGCCCCGAAAGCGGCGGCCCTTGAAGCGCCGGCTCAGCAGCAGGTTCCGCGAGCAGTTCTCGTCGCTGTGATCGATGTCCTCGGCGCGCTGTGATCGAGGCGTCCCTGGCGAAAAAAAAACGAAGGGATCAGGAAAAAGATGGAAATGATTGGGATATCTTTCATCTTTTTGGGATAGTTATTATTAGGAAAGATCATCTTTTTCCAATATCATTGGGATATCCATATTGATTGATAGTTATTGGGGATCTTGTTGGGATGTGATTATTGGAATCTTTCAATGGAAATTTCAATGGGAATTTCAATAACTATCAATAATCATCCCAGTTGACGGTTAGATCCACACGTCCAATCAATGGGAATTTCAGGATAAAATGGAGGTACGTTAGTACCATATTTCAGGCCATATTTTGTGGAGATATTCCCTGAAATTTAGGCCTGAAATATAGGCCTTATGTATGGTAGGTACCTCCAATTTAGGTTCCTGAAACGGCCATTGAATCTTGTTGGGTGCAAAAAAATGTTCTAAAAAAACTGGACATCTTAATGACTGGTCTTGTTTGATGTATCCGCAACTTCCCATTTTGTTGCTTAAATCCCGAATTTTCTTGGGTGAATCTTCCAGACGTTGTTCTCTCATTCGCTATCTGTGGTATTCCATACCTAATTTTGCTGCCACCCTCATTTTGTTGGACAAATCGTTGTTTTTTTGTGTTTCAAATTCCCATTACATTAAGCCCAAGATTTTCTTGGTGAAATTTGTGCGATCTCCATGTTTGTTGGTTCTACACCATTTACGATTTCTTAAAAGTAGGGTGCCAAGAAATGATGGTTGATTACCCTCTGGTAAACAAATGCTTTGCTATTGAAAATTGCCGTTTATAGTTGATTTCCATTGATTTCCCCATTCAAAATGGTGATTGTCCATAGTTTTTTGTATGTTTACCAGGCCGGGTATGAGTTTTCAAATTAAAATGACCATTGGGGATACCCTATGGCCTCAAATTTCCCCTCCATTGAGTTCCATGAGTTTCCTAGCCGCTCCATTGGTCCATGGCTACTTCGGGATTTCCATATTTGATGACACCATTTTGGGCAATATCGATGATGTAAACCATATGAAAAATTCCATTCAAGTCCACATCCCCATTGGAATACCTGAAAAAAAGAATGATTCACATTGATTCACCATGAAATATCCCATGAAACATCCCACTATTTCTATATTATAATTATAATGTTCATCCCCATTATAATTATAATTCACCATTATGTCCCACTATATTGGGATTATAATGTATATATACGATATAAATCAGTCTATCCCCATTTATTCCTACTGACATTCCCATCAAATGACTAGCGCTGCTCGCCAGGACACCGTCTCCGAAGTGCATCCGGAGACCTGTGAGAGCTTCCCAGGTTCCGAGGTCGAAATGGGAGGAAAAACGATGGGTGGAACTCGGTTGAAGCTGGGTTCACTTTGTTCAAAGTGGTTGAAGTTGCTTCAACTTGGGTTGTAAAAATCAGACATGTGATTTCCATCAACATGTGGGGTTTAACTGTTTAACATCTTATAACCATCCGAAAAACATCGAAAAATCAGAGATATGACCGCCACGGGAACACGAGAAATGCCCGGATGATGGGACCCTAGCACAACTTGCCCCACCAAAAGCTGGTGATTCATACAGAGAGATATGACTGGTATGACTGGTTTTCCTGATCCTGAACTGGTTGGTGCTATACCTACCCCTCTGAAAAATGATGGAGTTCGTCAATGGGCTTCGGATGACATCCCATATATTATGGAAAATAAAAAATGTTCCAAACCACCAACCAGTGAAAGAAAGCATGAAATGCCATGAAATGCTGCAATTTTGGAGAAAATTCCGACCAATTGCATCTGACTAGCCAATTTCTAAGCCCGCCATACATCAATTTTGACCCAGAGCCACTTCAATGACTTGAAATGAATCCAGCAAATTGTGGTGATTTGACCAACAAAATATGAAGGTATCAGCTCATACACATGTTTGCCGTGCTATCCAGTTGGATCTGTGTCAAAAATCCGAAAAAAGTGGGGGTGGTCGCTCGAAAATGACCCAATTCATCCAATTCTGTCGTTCCATGGACCTGAAATCCCGAGAAATCTCAACCCATCCCCATTGGGCCTCCAGGTGCAAAACAGCCAAGCCTGCGCAGCCATTGGCTCTGTGGATCGCTGGTTGGATCTGGTTGGTGGTTTTACTCCGAACAAATACCATCTGGTCATGGAAAACATTGCGAACTGGAAGCCATGGCCCATTTAGTTCGATGATTAACCTGTGGTCATGATCGATAGCTATGTTTGGATCCTCATCTCAAATTTGAGCTGGGGATTGTTGGGCCATGAATCCATGGATCACATCATTTAGAAACAGTATGGTGGTGTGAAATAGCAGCTACAATAATCAGACAACCATTGGCAAAGGGACATCTATGCTCCAGACCATCAATCGGTTTCTCCAAGAAAAGGGCCAGTTAGATCTCCAGTTTCTGCTACAATCCAGTTTTTTGGGGATGGCCACCATGTTTTAAGCAGATCTCGTGATCTCTTCCGGATCCTCCAGGGATCCCGAAAAATGGGAAAACCCCACATGGCTTGCCTCGAAGGAGCTGTCCGTTCTGGTGCACGTCCAAGGTGACTTTGACCTGCTGAGGTCATGCGGTTGTTGCTGGGGATTCCCCGAATTGGGTCCGAAAAATTCCATTCAGGCAGGCGGAACCCACAAATTGCCATAAGAAATGGGAAAACATCTTCCAACGCCCAGGTTTGGGTCCATTTTAGATCTATGGGTTGCAAAGAATCTTCAGAAACCTAGACATCTTTAATCCATGGCTTGGTAAGTTCTCAATAACAAATATATTATCCCAGGGTATATCCCATGTATAGCTTGGGTATGAGATGGTTCTTACCCACTTGCCAAGTGGAATGCAAATCTGTGCATAAAAAGAGTTCACAACCCTGGCATGGATGTAGTTTAAATGAATGGGGCTTTCTTCACCTCAGTTGACACTAGTTTGGTAAACCCCCATGCCACATATACCGTCTCAGTAACCCAATGAGAAGCCAGTATCCTGCATCCTCCACTGACCAACATGATATACCAATTGCTTATAAACCAACATCGAAAAAGTATCACATCTAACCAACAAAACACTTTGAGTGGGTACATTTTCCATATCACTCCCCCGGTTCGAATACAACCCAACCTTGGATTCAAACAACGAACATGCGAAGTTCAATCATCAAAAATTGGAATTTGAACCCATCAAAGACCATTGAAAAACCTATGGAAAAAATCCTTTCAAGTCGCATTCCAAACATCCAAACCATGGGGATTTCTTCATGAGGGATGCATCCCACTTCGACAGGATGCAGGGTCCCAGGGTGCAGGTAAACCCCAGAATCATGGCTGGGGCTGGTCCCAAAACTACACCATGGTTTCTGAGGGATGTTTAATAAACCCTGAACAAAGCAAGCATCATGGGTGATTTTTTAGGAGACCCTAGTGGCTGGAGGATAATCTTTGAGGGGAGATAAGGATCCTCTGATGGCGCATCCAAGTCATCAACCATCATTAATCAAGTACATAGCCACTTTTTGTGGTTGAAACAACTATAAATGATGCCAAAATCCCCAGTTGAATAGCCAATCAACAGTTGGTTTTTGAAGATCATATAGCTGGCAATGAAATTCCCATTAAAAGTCCCATAAAGCCCCCAGAAAATCCCCATGAAATAACCACAAGCGGACTGTGCCCTGCCTGTCGTTCCTTCTCGTCAAAGTTCAGGGTGGTCTTGCCATGGGCCACGCAACGGGGGCGCGAGCGCCACTCGCCCACGCCTGGACGGAAAGATGGATTTCTGACATGAAAAAATGTGGAAAACGCAGGGAAAAAACATAAAAATGGAGATGGATCAATGGATTAGCCTCGAGATTTAGGAAATTGATAAAGCATCATTACAAATATAGAGTAGCTTATGGAAGTTTTGGAAGTTTCAGCCTCGAAAATGGTAAGATCACCAAGGAATGTTGGATCTCGTGTAGTGTTGTGTTGGTCACAAAAAATGGCAAAAAAAAAAACATGTGTGCCCGAGGCAAAAGGGAATGAAAAAGGGTACATATGTACTAACGATATCTATCACTCTTGTAGCCAACTAAAACGGCGTTTTTTGTGTCATTCGTGTCATTGGAGAAGGCCACCAGGAAGCCACATAGCACTAGTTTCAATCCGCTACTTGCCTTGGTCTCTCGGTGACCAAATATTCAAGTCACAAGCCACAACTACCAACAAAACTAACATCAAAAAGGAGGTGAATGGAAATCCTGCATTATACATTGATAAGATTATCACTGGATTTCAACTGAGATTAGCCCGAACCTGTATGATATCAAACAATATCACCAACTCCGCAAAAACTGGGCCCAAAAAAAACACTGTCCGGGCACTGGTCCAGAAGCATAGCGTGAGATTCTCTTCGACCTGCGTGGCCACCGCGGCCCTCGAGTTCGGAAATTCTCCAGCCACAGAGGGTAATGTTGGTACTGGTAAGACGACTACCTATTGATGATATATGATTTTTGTACGTATATAGAACTATTATTATACTATTATTCTTATACCATTATTATTATTATTATTATTATTATTAACTATGATTATTGTTAACTATGATTATTATTGGTCACACTACTGTATTCACAATACTCATATTGATAAGACTGTATTACCAGAGCCAATTATCCAATATCATGTAATTACTATCAGTATTGCCATACGATAATTGCGAAATTGATCATGAGTCATACATTATACCAATGCAAAAATATGGTAAAGTATGGCAAAGGGACTTCAAGACATCTTTCAGAACTGACCCAAGAGGTTTCAGCTGAAAGTCTGGAACCAGCGATCCAATGGTTTTCATGGCTGATGGTTTGGCGATGAAATTTCACCTCGACCCATATCTGTGTGTTTTTTTTCTGTATGGAACTACTGTCTATCTAGATCCATTCTGAATGGTGGAACACATCTGACCATTTGGCAGATCCATCCGACGAAAAACAGCTGGCGCACTCTGATATCCTTCAGCTCGAAGGTCAACTTTTCAGCCAAGCTCGGCCACCTGTCGAGGTATGAAAATTCCTCCATAATATTTGGGAGAGAAGCCATGGGATTACTAGAAATGAATGGGGAAATGATGGATTTTTTGGGGGAATTACTTGGGAATTAATGAAATAACCATAGAAGTTCATGGAAGTGCACAAGGAATTGCAGCAAGATTCAATCAAACCGTGTATTCTATGACTAATATCTTGGGTCTTTGGATGATTTTCTCAAGCCATTGGTGAATTGGATGGGACTTAATGGGAGATGTCATAGATGGTGAAGTGGAATTGCCACCAGTTTGTAGTGATCATCTGCATCCAGGATCCAAGAGTCATTGAGATTTTCTGGGGTTGGCCACGCCAAAAAAATGTGCTAAACTGCTAAACATGTGCCATGTAGGTTCGTCCAAAATTATGTTACCCGGGTTATATCATCATTTTCCCCATGAGAATGCTTCTTTGGGTGTAGCAAAACCCCATTTTCAGCCAGCCTCCTTCAACTAATACCTCAAAAATGAAAGTGTTGCTGCCTAAATCCCATTATTCCATGTTACTTACCCATGGTATCCACATCAAAGGGCAGTTGCTTATCCCCCCAACATCGGATTTCCCCGGACCCGCCCTGCCTCCCAGTCACACAGCTGGTGCTCTGCGCTTCGCCCCCCATCTTCAGCTCCGCATAGAGCGGTCGTTCCGCCACCGTCACCTGCAAGATGCCAAGCGTCGCCTGCGGAACAGGTCACGGAGGTGTTTCCAGATGGGGGGTACCGGGTACCCCAATAGCTGGCTGATAAAAAAATATATAAATCATGATTATAATAGAACATCCTATTAAAAAATGGAACATCCTACTAAAAAAAAATGGAACATCCTACTAAAAACGAATGGATGATTTGGGGGTACCCCCATGACTTAGGAAACCTCCGTTTGACTGGGAATCGTTACGGGGACTCGAATCTGATTTACCTGCACCGAAGACAGGAAAGACCTATCTTTTGTCTTTTGGATGGTAAAACCCTTCATATACCCTTCATAGGCTTCCTGCAGACCATGTATACCCCACAGGGCACCAGGATCACTTGGACATTGGATTTTGGATCACTGAACATTGGGCATGGCTACACAAGACATTTTTGAAAAAAACCACTCACAGCCTTAGGCTTTAACACCAATCACACCACTCAAGTTCCATTTAGCCATATCAAGTACTGAAGATGAATACATATATATATATATATTTATTATATATATATAATATAGATATATATATGTCATTGCCATGTCTGGAATCATGGCAGTCCCCAAATGGGGACCCTACACTTCGATGGCGTCAGCTTCTTACCTTTTTCAAGTCTGATGATTATATCATATCTGATTCTTGGATCATCGCTGTGGCCCACGTTCAAGCGAGCCAAACGCAGATGTTCAAGCGAACCCCCGCCCACTCACAGTCCCAAGGAAGTACATAATGAACTCGAATCAACAAACAGTCGATGTAACCTATCAAAGTTATATAGGTCATCAAAGCCCCTCACATTAGGGCAGTTGGGGCTGATCACAACCCCCCCACGCCATGGAGTCCTAAAAAGCATCTTAACTACTCGGAGAAGATTTTGGGGACATTCATCCCCGACAGTCTTTGAAAAAGCGGGGTTGATTCAACCCCATCAAATGGATTCAAATGGAAGGTTGTCGTGTCCAACCTCTGAGATAGATGTGATCAAAAAAAATGTTCACCTACGATCAGTAATCATCAGTAAGCATCAGTAATCAACAATCAATAAATGTAATCTACGAGTTGTTCACCAACCCCTCAACTATCCGATAATCACCTTACCTTTGGTGACCTGAACCAAAATGTTCCATCTCCGAGATTGGCGGCTCATAACATATCCCAAATGTCTTGGTGAAGTCCATCGGTTTCTGGTGAAATCTAGCTTTTTCCTGATGAAGTTACTGTTGTTGCTGGCGAAGTCAATTTTTTTGATCGGTGAAATGCCAAAATTGTTTGTTTCATCCAATTTTATGTTGGCCAAATCCGTCCGTTCAGTCTAAATGCCAATTTGTCATGGTTCATTCCTCCTTTCCAGCTTTCAATTTCAACGATGTTGAAATCTCCAGTTGTTCAGTTTCAAAAATGACCAAAAAGTGTCACATGTTCCCCCTTTTAAGTACGGCAAAATGTTAAGCTGGGATGAAAACACCCTGACCACTAATTCGGGGGTTACCCCAAAATCTACTGTAAATTATGGTTGAAACTAGTACTCCCTCATTTGATGAACCGAGTCAACATTGCAAAATCCTGTGTCAATAGCAATCCTGTATCCCATGATATCCAATGACATACCAGATTTGCTGGTGAAATCTACATAACTATCTCCACCATGAAAAATCCCCGTAAAATTCCTTGGCTGTATTCATACATGTCCATAGATTTCCTCCAAAGCGGTGAAATCTACCCATCAAAAATCGGACTGCTGAGTTCTCCCATCAAAAATCATCCCTGAAGCCATCGATCATCCCATACATCATTAATATATCGAAAATTAATCCAACTTACATTGATGTATAAAACATTTCTTGGGATGTATGGGATGATTTTTCTTGGATTAAGATTACCCTCTGGTAAACTAACATAACTATGGAAAATCACCATGTTTAATGGGAAAACTCACTATAAATCACCATTTTCAATAGCTACGTTAATCCATAGATTTCTTACATTCCCAAGAAATCCAACCGTTGAACCAGATTCGAAACGCTGAAATCTCGATCCCCCCATGAATTGCTTGTTTCATGGGTGATGAATCAATTATCCATCAATTTCCTTATAATATCTATATTAGAGTATGTATACAATATTATACATAAATAGATATATATATATGTGTATATATACTGTATATAGATCCATCATATAACTTCATTCATGTGGTAAACAGGTCATTAACCTACCACTTTGGGGATAGCTACCATCCATTTATCGCATCCTCCGCGCCTTGCCGCTCCACATCTTCGCCGCCTCGGCCGCCGCGTCGACTTCCGCGGCCGCGTCGCCCGTGGAGATGCTCGAGTCCTGAAGCGGTTCGCAGCGGTTTGCACCGAAACCAGTGGTGGGATGTCCATTTACCAAGTAATAATAGTAATAGTAATAGTAATAGGAATAGTAATAGTAATAATAATATTAAAATAATATAAACAATAATGATAGTAGTAATGATAATAGTAATGCTCATAGAGATAGTAATAGTAGTACCCTCTGGTTATTTAACATAGCCATGGGAAACGGCCCATAGAAATAGATGGTTTACCGAACTTAAAAATGGGTGGGTTTTCCATGGCGAACTGTGAATGTCATAACCAGAGGGTACATCTTTTTTCCGGAAAAAATAAGAAGAAAATCGATTTTGAGGAGCGAAGAAGTTCCGAAGCTTCTGATTTTGAGGAAAGAAAACCATGGATTTTCAGCAGCGATTTGGCCAAGAAGGATCCTTGGAGGACTTCAGGATTCATCCCGCGAGAACCCTCGGTGGTTTTCCACCAAACACGTCCCTGGAAATTCAGCCGTTTTCTCCGGAAAGTCAACCATCTGATGATAGCCATGGCAGCAAGCTGGCCATATCGATGGTTGGTAACTCATCAATGGCAGCCATGTTCCATGGCTGCGTTCACCAACATGGCGAGGGTAAGATGGAATTAAAACCCAGAGATCTGACAAAGGTCCCCGCCCAGGTCAATGTCCTCGCTCTCAGCTTCTACAGCCATCTCCTGGGAAATCATGTCGTCCCAAGCAGTTCCCGCTGTGATGTACGTACACACTACACCTCTCTATGGATATCATGATGTCATGAGACATGCTCCCATCGGCACATCTCCAGCTACCTAAGGAATCACTACTGAAAATTACCTGAAGTGATGAATTGATGGTTTCACCAAGCCAAAGGATAGTGGTGACCTGGAGCCACTAAACCCGTCACGGCAAGTCACAGTGCTTGCCGCGTCTGCTTCTGGCGGAGGGGCATCCTGCAACCAAAATGTCAATTTGATCAATAAAAGTTGACATCCAAAAATGGTGGTTTCAAACAAATGAACTGTATACCAACAAAACGTGGGATTCCACCAATGTGATGAGTGAAATGGAGATTTTATCGCCAAAAATAGAGATTTTTGCTAGCAATCGTCTGGATAGAACGAAGGAAACCACAAATCCAAGCACCAGGGGAGGCTGTAAACAGATGTAACAGCACATCATGGTTCAATGGTCATGGTTCAACAGGGAACTAAAGAAGGGTTCTGTCCCTGGTGATGTAAAGATTCATGGAGTCACATACATGATTCTCACCAACTCCAGATAAGTGTGACTGCAATCATCCAGTGGTTAAAACTCAACGCAACGTTCCCATGAAAAATTGGCCACAACTATTGCCATAGGAGGGCAATGTTCCCCATTTTCAGGTACGAAACCCAAATCATATTGCTGATGATATACCTTCTTCATCCTTATATCGTCTATTCTCCCAGTATGTTCCTCATCTGGTTGGTGTTTCAACCCCTCTCTTGGGATTATATATTATTCCCAATAGATGGAAAGTCATAAAAGCCATGTTCCAAACCACCAACCACTCATTTATTGATATTACTAGATATCCATTAGATACATATCCACATATGTTGATCCATATATTGTTAATAATATCATAGATATCCACATATGTTGATCCATATATTGTTAATAATATCATAGATATCCACATATGTTGATCCATATATTGTTAATAATATCATAGATATCCACATATGTTGATTCATATATTGTTAATTATCCATATATCCATATTATCCATATAATATTATATATTATCCGTTTATTGTTGATCCATGAAATCTGAAATCCCCATGTCACAAAAACATCCCGCGCCTCGGTTCCCTCGGCTCCCTCGGCTCGTATCGCTCCGGGTGGATGGTCTTGATGGTCTTCGTCGTCGCTCAAGCCGTGGTCTGTGTAGATGCTGAAGGATGCCATACCGGCCATACCTGAGATCTTGTGGTTGAGGTTGTAAACAAAGGATAGTTCAAGAAAAAATATCTGTTTTATGGGTTTTATGGGTTTTAAGGGATGACTGGAATCAAAACCAAGAAGTCAGAGCTGGTATGGATTATCTCCGAAAACCAGTCAGTGACAAATGGTTGGTGATTTTTGGGGACCATCAAAGGTGGAACCATATGGAACCTGAAACGTCAAACAGGATTCAATTAAAGCTGGTAGTCATGGAGGGGATTCGTGACATTGACCCTGACATCCTTCAAAAGCTGGTTTTCTGGAAAGGAAAACCAGAATGGTTTGGGGATCCAAACCATTTTCAGAACCCCATATTGATCCATATGCCAGAAGCCTCATCGAGTTCAAACTCTGGATCACCAGGCGACTATCCAAGCTGGTCTGCGACAGCTGCGAGCGGTCACCAGTCCTTGGGAGAGATTCGCCAATTTCACCCATCGGGAGCAAAGAAAGCTTGGCTGTCATAACTGATATAACTTGGCTGATAAGATATCACTGATATAAGTTATATAACTTGGCTGCGACAGCTGCATGGTTTCGTTGGGAAGGTCGTATCGCTCGTATCGCTAATAACACAAACCCAGGCGATTTTTTCTGTAATCCAACTGTTGCTGAAACATCATCTTCTTCGATTTTTGGTGATCAAATCCAACATCACTGACATCGATGTTCAGGAGAAATCTGCAAGGGGCTCACCAATGGGGATTTGTCGCTGGATGGTTCACCATTTTGGAAGACAAGATTTCTTCACCCGAGGGATCCAACAAAGTGATGCGGAACTGAACCCCTTCCATGATTGACCACATCCTCTGTGGGTTACCTGTTCGCTCATTTTTGGTTGGTGAAATTTTCACATTACCTTGTCTTGTTTGTTAGAGCCCACTTTTTGTTGACTATTGTCTTGCAAAAAAAAGACTTATAGGGTTCCTAGCAACTATTTTCATGTAAATCTCCACGTTCACTGATTGTTAAATCACTTAAATTAAATCATCTTAAATCCAACTTATTCGCACTTGTTCCATTTTAATTGATGGCAAATTCAATTTTTGCTTCCCCTTTTTTCATCCTTCCCATACCATCGCCCCTTGGCCTTCCAAGGCTCTGTCTCACCCGGTATCGCCTGCCACGCCAGGAGACAGAGACGCCATTCGTGGCATTGGTCCGGGGTCCCGCCGGGGCACTGGAGGGCCGTTGCCACGCGCTGCTGGGGCGCGAGGGCGGCTGGAGCCTGGAAACCCCCCCTTTGGACATGGAATGACATGGGTGTTCAAAGATTTTTTTTGCATGATCTGAATGATCCAAATCTGAATATCATCCCATGATTGCAATGATCAAGATGATCGAAATGACTTAAATCCAAATCTAGATATCAGCCAACAAGAGTCATCCACCCTAAATCATCTCAAAATCTTGACACTGTTGAAACATGTTGAAACCCATGGTTTTTTTGGGGATCCTGCAGATCCCCTTTGAAAAACCCCCCGCCTCCGTGGCGCGGACCGCGGCCGCACCGGCGCCGAGTGCGGCCGCTCCGCCGGCGCCGAGGGCGGCCGCGACAAGCTGCGCCCGGAGCTGGGCCGCGCCGACGCCGCGGTGCTGGGGGCAGAGGACGGACGGGAAGGCGCCAAAGGCGCCTGGCACCGGGGGAACCAGAGGTCTGCCATGTACCACGGCTACAGTTATACCATGGTTATACCTCCATAAGTTTTGGGAATCTAAGAAAAATATCGTCAACTGAAACATTTGGAGGCTCAAATCAACAATTTGGCACAACCAGTTGGGAAGAGTTGAACTTTAAGAAAGTTCAAGATGTGCCATCCATCCCATGATTGATGTGTTTGTATCCTTCAAACCCTTATTTGTTGATGATATCCGTTTATGATGTCCAAAGCCTTGTTGGTACAACCCCGATGCATTCGAAAAGGGGATTGACTGCCATCAAAATGGTAGCTGATTCTCCAAATGCTCCGACAAAAGTTTAGTTAAAGGGACCAAATCCAAAACTCTGCAAAACATTGTTGTTGAAACCCCGAAAAAAAAAATGTGTTGATCAAACCTGTACATTCGGTTGATACCCCGATCCAAATCCTGATGATCCTCATGTGTTCATTGTCTCCCCATGTCTTGCCAAACGCCGTGTTCATGGTGAAATGCCCACTCATATCTCACTAAACTCCCATCAAGTCCCCAACTTCCCACATTAAATCCCATTCACTTCCAAATATCCCATTTAGGCTCCGGTAAATTAACATGACGACCCTGGCAGTCATCGGGCTTGGAAGACTGGGCAATCCACTCAAAATGGCATAAATTTTCAGGGTCAACAAGTTAATTTACCAGAGGGTAAATCCAATCTGAAGTCCCATTAGATCCCATTAAACCACCATAAAATCACCATTTTTAATAGGTTACCATTGGTCAAATCCTCACCTGGTTCAGGAAAACCTGGCTCTGCGTCAACGACTTCCGCCCGGCCGGCCGCCAGGGCGCCAGCGGCGACCCGTAGCCGCAGGGCGGCTCGGGCAGGTCGGTGACGGTGACCCAGGAGGGCCGCGGCGGCAGGGGGGCCATCAGGGCATGGGGATGGCGAGGCTGGAAGAAATGAGGTGGTTTTGTGGGATATGTATATATATATATATATATGTAAATGTATATATGTATATGTATATGTATATGTAAATGTATATATGTATATGTATATGTATATGTACATGTATATGCATATGCATATGTGTATGTATGTATGTATGTATGTATGTATGTATGTATGTATGTATGTATGTATGTGTGTATGCATTATGTATGTATGTATGTATGTATGTATGTATGTATATATGTATATATATGTATATATATGTATATGTATATGTATGTATCAATACATACAGATAAATAGATATTTGATACTGGATGTAGACTCTTGACACATTCGTATGTTCCTATAGTATATATATATAATAACAGGCTTACTTGACATGGTTCTTTTAGAGCGGTTCTACTTGAGCATGAACAGAAGAAATCATCAGTGCGTTCTTGAATCTCGCGGGTTCCTTCTTGATTCACCCTGCAAATACCAGAACCATGCAGGAAAAAACGGCTGCAGTACCATAGTGGACATTTCCATGGCAATGATATATAACGGTTTATGAAATTATTTCACCTGGAAATGGCCATGCTTTGTGAGCAAACAAACCTTACTTTCGCGAAGCCTTCGCGCACTCCATGTTTATTCTTCGCGGGATGCATGTTGGGCAACCTGTTATGAAGACTCTGTCGTTGCCTGCCAGACTGTCATAGATTACTTCATGATAGCCATGTAAACATGCAGCTAGCATCACGGAATTCCTTTCTCACGATTGCCTATTGGCTGCTGCAAATTTTTAAAGACTTACCGTGCAGGGCTAACTGCTTCAAAATGCACGGTCACTTTCACCTGCTCTTCTCGTAATTGTATCACACTCTTATCCATGATTGCATTTCTCATCCCCTCATACAAATTTCAGCTAAGCTCTGGGCTGCCCACATAAATGTCATATTTTCATATCACCATATATCACCATATGTCACCATATATCACCATATATCACCTACATTACATCTTGCTTAATTTGCTTATGTGCATAAATTCATTGATGATCACCTACATATTGGGGTTGTCTGAAAATAGGCTGTCCCAAAATCCGCTGCAACTGTGGGCTGACCTGGCTGGATCTGGGAATCGCTGGCTCTGGCAAACACCACTCTGAATCAACCGTTGAACTGGGGGGAAATCTGGCACTCACCAAGAATGTATGCATGGATGGATGGATGGATAGATGGATGGATGGATGGATGGATGTAACGTAACGTAACGTAACGTAACGCAATGCAATGCAATGTAATGTAATGCAATGTAATGCATGCATGCATGCATGCATGTATGTATGTATGTATGTACAGTTATATAAAGTATAAAATATCTATCCAAATCATTGGTATCATTGATAATAACTGGATTCATTCCAATTTTATGATAGATTGTGATGCCTTTTGCCTTTTTCTGCCAGGGCTTCGGCACTAAGGTCTGGAAGTGCACGCAGCACTTGATGTTTAACCTGCGCCTGAGATGACCTTTGGTCAATGGTAGCGTTGCAGTTGTCTCAGGCAGCCCAAAGTCAAAGGGCCCAAACTTCTGCCGCAGCGGTAACACCCCATCCTTCTCCAAGCTTTCCGTGATCCAAACGCGAAATCTACCAAGATCATCCAAGATCTACATTCTGAAATGTGGGATGCTGTCCATTTGGACTGGAATGCGGGCGGTGTGTCCTGCCAATTCTATGACTGCATCCAAAAAAAACTATCGTGGACACTGCAAACATCAGAGAAAATATTTCGCAAACAAAGTGAAATGCTGATTGTCGCCACAGACTTAGGGTAAACTATCCACTAGACATTAATAAACCCACCCTGGGACCCTATCACGTCACACGTGCGGCAAATTCCCTAGTTGCCGGCTATGAATTAGCAAACCGACTATTCGCATTACCTCCAAGGAAAGCCAGCTACAAAAGCGCAGGTTGCTTTCGTGGCGGTGGAAGTACTTGAGAACGTAGTTGCTGCTGAAATTGTTCTTGCGGAAAGGTTTGGCATCATCATCATCTCTTTTTCGGGCAGTAATGACAATACTTTGGAATGGTATAGCATGCCTGGTGGAGGCGGGTTGGTTGGGTTGGGAGGGCGGTGCCTGCACCAGTGCGTATTGTAGTGACAATAGAATGGCTGTATAACTCGTTGTGATCTGTTGTGGTTCCTGTTTTTAACATGTTTTTCTTCTATCATTGCTGGTGGCCGTGGGTGCTTTCTGATCATGACTGGACCTCTCTGAAGGAGAAGGAGGAGTACCGGCTGCACGCACTCTCTGTACAATCTGTCAAATCTTGGAGATCCACAGATCCAACCGTTGCTTCTAGCGGTATTGTCTTTTGTATGCAATCAGGTACTCTGGATAGATGCGCTCCTCAGCACGCCAGATGGCCATAGGCGGCCAAGACACCATTCTGTGCCCATGAGATCCACATATGGTCTTTGTTAAGTCGCCAGTTTAATCCGTTCTAGCCTTATCTACATTGAATGGAATTTATCATTGACCTATATAGTATTATGTAGCAAAATATAATATTATATAATACAATACAATACAATACAATACAATATGATGTGATATAACATAATATAATATAAATTTATAAATATAGAAATATATATATATATATATAAATATATGTATATATATATATCAATATATAAATATATCAATATATAAATATATCAATATATAAATATATCAATATATAAATATATCAATATATAAATATATCAATATATAAATATATCAATATATAAATATATCAATATATAAATATAAATATATATATATATACATATATAAATAAATAATTATATAAATAATAAATATATAAATATATAAATATATAAATATATGAATATATGAATATATAAATATATAAATATATAAATACGGCCAGGCCCTGTGTGTTGCCCGGAAGTTTACAGGGACGGTCCCGGCAAATTTCATGATGATGATGATGATGATGATGAGTCTAACTGGGGTGGGAGAATTAAACCCTTATTGAAGAATCTTCAATGAATGTAAGAGCTTAACGGGGGTGGGAGAATTAAACCCTTATTGAAGATCTTCAATGAATGTAAGAGTTTAACGGGGGTGGGAGAATTAAACCCTTATTGAAGATCTTCAATGAATGGAAGAGTTTGACGGGGGTGGGAGAATTAAACCCTTATTGAAGATCTTCAATGAATGTAGAAATTTAATGGGGGTGGGCGAATTTCTATGAGATGTATAGTGTGAACAAAAAATCCTTGTAATTTACGCTATTCTGGGCTTGGGCAACACACGGGGCCTGTGGGTATAAATATATAAATATATAAATATATAAATATAAAAATATATAAAAGTATAAATATAGAAATATAGAAATATAGAAATATAGAAATATAGAAATATAGAAATATATCAATATATAAATATATAGATATATAAATAAATAAATATAGAAATATATAAATAAATAAATGTAGAAATATAGAAATCAATAAATATAGAAATATAGAATTATAGAAATATATAAATATATAAATATATAAATATAAATATGATGTATCTATATATATACATAATTATATAATATAATACAATACAATACAATACAATATAAATAAATATAAATATAAGTATTAATATAATATAACGTATCTATATCTATCTATATATGCGACCCCATCCGACCCGACCACCGACCTGACCGATCTGTGGCCCCGCACACTATGCGTTAAAATGTATTCGCGATGCCGCTGGACCTTTCCCCCAGTCTCCACCTAGCCAGGTCAAGGGTCTTGGGCTTGTCGAATGGAGAAATATATGGGATATCCCCAACATAGCCACTGAAAAAATATGGGAAAACATGGGAAAATATGGGAAAATACGGGAAAGTATGGGAAAATGATGATAACTTTGATGAGAAGTCAATTTGAGCCATTTGATTTTGGGCTGTTCATTTTTCTTAAAAATCGGACAAAGCCATTGAATTTCAGGTACTCCCATGTAGCGCAACCATGTGGCGTGGAAGATTGACAATATATCCAAAAATCTACGATTGTCAAAAAAATTGATGAAATTGCAAAGTTTCTTTGGTAGCTTCAAGAATATTTCAACTGACTGTTTATCGAACTGCAAAGCGCTCCCCACATGAAAGCAAAGCTAGATGCCACAAGATCCCAAAGCGTCCGCAATTCTCAGGTGAAACCAACCAAGATGCCTTGAATTGGTCAGTGCATGTTGCAATACTCATGGCATACGTTTGGAGAAGATGCATGCCATAGGCACAAGTTTGCGGAGGTCTTCGCTTGTATATTGAAGCATCTTCAGCTATGCAGCTACGGCAGCATCCTGAACTTTGAAATTGTCCTGTCTGTATGCCGTGTATAACTTAGATACGACTTAAATCCTGACCGCGTAAAGCCCACAGCTTCCACCTGCAATGAGTGATAGGGCGACTCAAAGCGAGGAATTGTGTTGAACTCGCGCCTGTCAGGCCTCAGGTCAGGCGTCTTGGGTCCCGGACCAGATCTGGCCCGGCGCCGGTAGACCCCAAATGCATGGCCATTTTTAGAGAAAAAATGATGGTTTTTGCAGACTTTGAACATTGGAGTTTAGGGATGCCTCGATTTTGTGGGCAAACCCAACTGGACATCCAACCAATCTGAGATCTGGACGTGGACCAAATACTTCTGCCATCCTGCAGGCTCTTTTCTCCATCCTTCGTCTGCACGAAGCGTCCTGTGGAATTCTCCAAGGTCTTGTTTCTCTTCAACCAAACATGATTCCACGGAACCTTTGTGCGTTGCATTCGTGAAAATACACTTGTTTGGGCTATGTTGGGCCGTGCTATAATGAGTCTGGGCGAACGTTAAGGTTGCGGACAACATGTTTCATCGCCTTTAGTATGGAAAGGAAAGAAAAAAAACATTGCTACGATTAACTAGTCCACATACTGGAGGCATCGAGGACACGCATGTTTTTGAGAGAGTCGCTTGTCGTGCCTGACTAGGGGAACATGCCCAACTGTTCCGATCAAGATATGCATCAAACATCATCAAACCGAAATTGGAAATCGCCAAAATATCCCTGCCTAGCACTGCGCGGCAGAGAAACATGTAGCAAACATTTCCTCAGCTGCACTGATTTCTCATGGATTCACCAGGAGAATTTAATACATCTTCCAACCAACTGGACGTGACCCAGGAACCACCAGTTTGGCATGGACTGTGCAGCAGAGCGCCAGGGAAGTCAAACAAACTGGTTTATACAGCTGACAAATTCCAAGGGTTTTTTCGGAACGAATTTCACGTACGGACCTTTCGAGTATGTATACTGCTCATTGAGTTCTTCCCCATGACATGACATTTTTTGACCAAAATCTTCACCTCAAAGGTGGACAAAGTTTGATGGCCTCGTTCCATCTTTGAATGGGGTTTCCACACCCTGCCACAAGAAATCGTTGGAAGTCCAAAGTTGTCAAAATTTCTGAAAAAGTAGTCAAACAGACAGATAATGAAATCCCAACGAAGTTCTAGCAAATGAATCTGTGGCAAAATCGTGCGACAATCTGTTTTGCCACAAATTGGTCTTACAAAAATTCAACCAATGTTGAACGAAATGTCACCAAAGTTTCAACTACGCTAAAATCCAGCGCTACGAGACTGATTGCATATGGAAAAATGCGAATCCTTGCAAATTATGTGTATGTGTGTGTGTATATATATATATATGTTTATGTCGCTGGTGATCTCCTATGCAATCAGTCCTGATTAGGATATTCTGTGTTTCACCACCTTGTTAAAATCACAACACAGGCTGAGCGTCGCGGGGGTTCATCAACATGTCCCTGAACTGCTTCACCACGAGCATCTGGTGTGGCGTACTGATCACTCTTTGCAGGGTCCTGATCCGACCCATTTGTGCTGGTAAATGTCCCAATTGTTGGTACAGTCAGCCTCTGGTTCGCTAAACTAACCCTGGTTACTAGTGTGCAACTCCCCTTGTCTGATTGAATATATAAGGGTGCAAATGGAGAGGCACAGGCCGCGGAACTCCATCCACTCCGTCCACTCCGTCCACTCCGTCCACTCCGTCCACTCCGTCCACTCCGTCCACTCCGTCCACTCCGTCCACTCCGTCCTCTGCCAAGTAGGAGCCGTGACCGAAGAGTCCTCCAGAGAAGCGTTCGTTCAAACCGTCGCTCAAGATCTTTTTCACCTGGGAGCAGTCCAAACAAACATGGAGATGTTCATGTTCCTCTTAAAATCCCAATATAATATTGATTCACCACCAAAAAAAACCATCAAAGACATTCAACAACTGGGAATTGAATCTAAAAATGACCAATTCTTTTTAATTACAGTATATACTTGTTTCCAAATCGTTGTCAGCAAGTGAACTCATGGCCATCAACATTGTGAGGCTCCTGCACTTGGCGGCTTGGTCCCATGCAGTAAGAAGACCTCGTTGATATCTTTAGCGACCTCGGCTCCGTCAAAGTGGGGGGGCCCTCCAGCACACTTTTGGTCCGGATCCGCTGGTTTTTTTCGATGATTCCCGGCGTTTTTTCGAATTATGGTGATGGATTTTTCTAAGTCTTTTTGTGGGACCCCTATACGCAAAAAGGTGCGACAACGAGAACATGCAACTTTCAGCTCTTCCCCATATCCATTGATCACTGCCTCCGAGTGACCGGTTCAGGCAATTTTTGGGTCGCATCCACCAGAGCTTTCCGGATGCTGACTTTGTGCATGGCGAGCGACTGATTTTTTTTCAAATCTTTGGTCCTCAACACTTCCTGGGTGCGGCTACCTCTGACGTTTGTTGGAAACAACCGCTGTTGAAACAGGAATTTCAGCATCCAATCAACATGTTTCCAAAGATATTCTGGCACAACAGGTTTGCAGTCAACTTTGAGACTATACCATACTATACCCACATCGCCCCCACCAGCTATGGTCCTCGGGTCCAAAATCTCAACTGTTCATCCGAGATTCGTGCTGAAATTTCCGCCAGAGGTGGAAGTTTTCGATCCGCCAAGCTTGGTGAAGCTCCAGAAAGTTGTATGGATTGCTTCCACGGCAGTCTCGTCCATGGCCCAGATCTGCGGCATCATGTGGGATAAGCACCTGGACGTTGATAGGCGATAGGTATCGCCACATTACCAGGATACAATACCCAATCAGATCAGCAAGTTTAAGCCAACGACCCTTTATTTTGTCCAGGAAGATTCACTGAATTTGCAGAAACTGGTAGAGTGAGTTGGGAAGTAGACTAGTAAAATGGCTGTTCTCAATCAGCAGGGCGACCTTCTTCAGTTGTTCCAGAACATGTTGCGATGATACACTCTCCAATCGCGGTCCCAATCGCCAGCGCTGCTGTATCAGCGTTTGATTCCAATGTTTAGGCATCTTGATCTCTGCAGTTTCTAACTCCTCTGGGTGAGCTCCATGGATATATTGCTGCAACCATTCTTGCGCATAAGACATGCCAAACCAGGTGGCAGCCCTCAAACATTCCTGGACCGGGGAGATTGGGATTCTTCTGGCAATCAGCTCTATGGCGTGCCCAAAAATCCTTCATTTAGTTAGATGCTTGTCCCATGCATATTATAGATATATACATATACATATATATATATATATATTATGTATATATACATGTACATATAATATACATACATACATATATATATATGTATATGTATGTATGTATGTATGTATGCATGTATGCATGTATGTATGCATGTATGCATGTATGCATGTATGCATGTATGCATGTATGCATGTATGCATGTATGCATGTATGCATGTATGCATGTATGCATGTATGCATGTATGCATGTATGCATGTATGCATGTATGCATGTATGCATCTATGCATCTATGTATCTATGTATCTATGTATCTATGTATCTATGTATCTATGTATCTATGTATCTATGTATCTATGTATCTATGTATCTATGTATCTATGTATCTATGTATCTATGTATCTATGTATCTATGTATCTATGTATGTATGTTTGTATCTATGTATGTATGTATCTATGTATGTATGTATCTATGTATCTATGTATCTATCTATCTATCTATCTATGTATGTATGTATGTATGTATGTATCTATGTATTTAATGTGTACGTATGTGTATATATATAATGTGTGTATGTATATACATATATATATATGTATATATAATGTGTATATATATATGTATAACGTGTATACGTACATATATATATAATGTGTATATATAATATGTGTATGTATGTATATATTTATATATAATATGTGTATATATATATAATATGTATATATATAATATGTATATATATAATATGTATATATATAATGTGTATATATATATAATATGTATATATATAATATGTATACATATAATATGTATATATGTAATGTATATATATACAATATGTATATTTATTGTGTATATATAATATGTGTATATATAAAATGTATATATTATATGTGTATATGTGATAATATGTGTGTATATATATATACATAGAGAGATATAGATATATTTAGATGTCCTTCAGGGATTTCCCAATGGCCCGCCATGTTTGATGACATCGGAGGATAAAAACATCACAAAACATTGGCCTTTCATGCGAGGCCAGTGGGCCACGCCTGACGTTCTGCATTGCTCATCTGGTCGATACGATGGCTATCAACGCGGCCAGAGTAGATAATATCTTTTATCACTGCCAGTGTCTGTGAGGAACATGGAGCTTTGTCCTCACGGGGAAAACCTCAGGGCCCCTGGGTTGTAAAAGGCAAATGCACCGATGCAAATAGGTGATTTTGGGAGCAGTCCGATATGTGTGGAAAAGCGATGTGATTTCGGAATCCATAGTCAGTTTACATGTTCAGATGTAATTTCTGAAACTTTCTTGAGATCGGTCTTTAAAGCACCTCTGCCAGTAGCGGCATAAATGCGTGAATGTGCAGGACCCGAGGTTGCAATGAGTGAGTGCAATGACCAAATGAAATTCATGAAGCATGGGATGTTTTACCCCTCATTTTCAGTTTACAGACCACTTGTGAAGTCACTTGTGGTTTTGGTCCCACAGATCTAGCCATAGATCCCGAAATCGCGTCCTGCAAGAGCCAGTGGCCGCGATCCGTTGACTGCAGCAGTTTGCTTCGGAACCCAGAACACACGTTGCAGCAAACTATGCGGTGGGCCCACATGCTGCCATCGTTGCAGTCGATTCTTACATCGACCTGAAATTCGCGGCGAACTTTGGTGGACTTTGGATATGATTGAATCACGTCATCAAGAAGAATATTTGCACTGTTTTTTGTCTTTTTTGACAGACTGCTGCCAACTCCGTTAGCCCTCCAGAAAAAGAACATATTGCAAAGCAAAACGTTTAATGTGGGTAAAACATGGCAAAACAACAATAAGCCATCCCCAGTTTCACCATTTTTATAGGTGGTATAAACTTACCATTCTCAGCCATGGCTGCTTTATGGCATTGTTTTACCCCCAGCACAGATCAGATCAGGCGGCGAAATCTGTGTCCTTCACCATCTCCTGCATCAGCTTCTCGGGTACCATAGGCTCTGGCAACGGCCTGTCTGATGCCTGCAACACAACGCTGCTGGGAAAAGCTCATGAATCCCATGCAGTTCAGCCCTTAAACACCCCCAAGAAACCTTGGAGTTTAGGGGATGAAACCACATCCTGAAACCGGGTGTGTTGATGTTGGGATGGGATTTATCATTCACGAATGCAAGAATAAACCATTGGCATTTTGTTGATATGCCGGGAGGGAGGGATGAACAGGTTTTTCAGATCAGAGGTACCAAGGTGAAGCTGCAATCCTTCCCTTTGTAGGTATCATCCTTTTCAGTTCTCTGAAATTGGTGTATAGCCATCCATACCTGACCATTTCATGCGGAAAAATCATGATTCCCGCCCTTAGCCGCTGGCTTTGGCCTTAGGTGCCTAAGTTTCCCCAATTTTCCAGTGACTGGGAAATCATCCAACAGGCCCGAAATGCCAAGGAACGGATTCGCGAGCACCCAACGCGATCAGGAAATGTTGGAAGGGCTTTACATCTGCGGCCACTGCCTCAGCTGCAGATGCTATGCTGCTATGGCGCTGCTATGGCAAGTGGCAGATGCTATGGCAAGGCCCCAACGAAATTCACCAATTGACAGCTGTGAAGTGGTTTTCTCAAAAGGTGCTGTATAGGTCAGAAGAATATCCTGAATCGTCTAGGTGTGTTGCTCTGATGCCTGTGTGTCGATACCCAACCGATTGGATTCCTAAGATGAACCACGAAACGGACTGACCTGATGGATGTGGGACCCCAATGATGTGACCCATGCAGTACCACTTCACGACCTTTGAAAAGGCCCTACCATGACTTACCCGCAGATTTCTGAAGTTGATGGCCAATTCATCTTCCCATGATTGCGGCAGACAATGGAGTACTCTTTGTACCAATTTGGAATCGTAAGTGGCTAACCATCTTCTGTCAACACATCAGTGTTTGTTGGGGAATATATATATATATATAATTATATATATATATAATTATATATATAATTATATATATATAATTATATATATATATTAAATGTTGATCCATTCCCATCTGACAAGGGCTTACAACGCCACGGTACGCTCAGTGGCCCCATGTCCATCATCAAACCAAGGCTAAAAAGGCCCGCCACCCGCAATGTGCCCTGGCCGGTGTGCAGACGATTTAACTGCAAACTGGGTACCCAGTCAGTTCATTGGCTCATGATTGTCCAAGAGGTTCCCTGTCCTTGCCATTTGGTAATTTTGGGGTCCACCATTTCAGACACATCCATTCAGAAAACTACAAAAACAAATCTCAGCACTGGGGAACCAATGGGAACCAATTGCTATTTCTATTGGAAAGGGATACATTTCACCGGCCTCGGCGTCCAAAATGCACCGCACCGTCTTCAATGGGGCCAACACGTCAGGATTGTCGAGAATGTTTTCGTCCAGGAACCTCATCGACCAGGTCACTTTTTCGGTCTGAGAGAGAATACCTCAATTGATATGGGAAGATGATGAAGTCAATGGATTGGTTATCTACAGAAAACCATGGTTTTTACCATCAAATTGTCCCATCATACAGTTCTATGATGAAGCAGTTGCTTTAGAGATAGCCTATGTTATCTATGTTTCATCAAAGAGTTACAGCAGACTTGGGCGCTGCGGCTCGGTGGCTTGTACACTTTCAGGAACTCCTCCCGCTCTGTTTGGGCCACTTTCCAATCCGTTGACTTTCCTGCGCGAAGAGAAACCAGCTCCCAAGACATCCCAAAAAAAATGGTTGCTATTGACACCAAGACAATTTCGGTGTGATTCAAGAACAGGTATTAATACCCATACCGCGCATACCACATGTTGGGTTTGAGCATGTTGAAATCACCTACCTAGTCGCCAGTCGCCATTGGTTCCCTGTTGCACCTTCAGCCAACTTGCACAGTTGCTCCACCACAAGTTGAAGAGGCGGCCGCTCTGCAAAGAGGCAGGCCACGTGTGGCTGAAGGTGCTCTAGAACCGGTGCCTCGGCAAACCACATGCATTTTTGGTCAGGCTGTAGTTTAGGGGATCCATAGGTGCCACCAAGTTTAACACATTGCTGTAGCCTTTGGTGGTGCGTGGCAGGATTGCGTTTGATCGTGGCAAAGGTGCATTCCGTTGCATTGTGGGGTTGTTACAACGCATGAATAGTTTAGATAATTGAATGTGCATCCCAGTTGGTAAGTGGTTTAGAACCCATGTATAACTCATCATATATATTTAACTGATGATATTCCATATATATATATCTGGGGGTGTAAGCCATTTACTAAGTGGAAACCCCCAGGTCTCTTCAATCACACTCAAGCCAGCGCCAAGTCGTTTGCGGCGCAGCGACATTGGTCTTGGAGAGGATGTCCTGAAACTTTGGTGGGATGACTTCTTTCCTCTTCCGCCACTGTCCCTTCCTCAGCTGGGGTAGCTAGGGTAGCTGGGATAGCTGGGTAGTTTCCAGCAATTCCAGCAGTCACAGCTCTGCCAAGGTGCAGGAAGAACACTTGCAGATCCGCAAAGGGCGCGGAAGTTTCCAATGAGTTCAGCTCAGTCAGTTCCATCTTTGAGACTGTGAGCAAAAGGCTGCCTGTGAATCTCTCACATGCTGCACCCGGCACTTTGTCCTTGGGCCTCGCAACAAAGGCAAGCCTTTGGGGATGTTGGTGCCCCAGTGCCCAAGCTGACATCCCAACTCCATCCACCATCCAAATCCCCTCAGTGTTGACCATGTAAAAAGTCACCTATAGTTAAAGATTTTGTTTCTACTTTGGATGTGAATCATCTAAAGACGGACATACTTTCCACAGAGAAACTGGATCCGAACATGTTTCGTTGCCGCCTGTATTGCTGGAGGAGCTCCACTAACTGTGAAGCTCTCAGCGTCGACTTGAGCCGTCTCTTCACCTGGCGAGGCTCGTAATGATGGTGAAAATAACATCAGAATCATCACAATAATAATGATAACCTCGTAACAGTATTATTAGAATTATATCATATTATCCAGAAGTATAGGTAAATCATCACAATATTCAGAATCATACCAGAAGAGTATTGTTAGAATAGTCTGAATAATAATGGTAACCTGGTAACAAAATCTATCTGTGGTTTGTGTTCATAGCTGCACCTTTGTTGACCTGCCAAAGAACACAACACGTCGTTCCACTTGGACTGTCTCCAAGCTCACAGCATGCAAACTCTTCTGAGCTACAAACAGCTACAGGATAATAGTGAAATGTTCCTATGACCCTCTACCAATCACACTATATCTGTAATTGGATATATATAATCTGGAATTTGTATCATCTATATATTGGATAGAAAATACATATATATTGTAATTGGTATAGAAAATCTGCAATTTGTACCATACTTTACCATGCCATATTTCTTCCATCTTTTCCCTATGGAAATTGGATGAAAAAAAGGCCACTTCCCAGCCGCAGCCGCAGCCCCGCCAGCCCTGCGCCTCCGATAGCTTCATGGCTTCCGTTACAAAGTCCGTCAGAGTTCCATCGAAGGCACCCAGCTGAGCGGCCTCGGGACTCGTCAGCGCTGGCCATGACCAGGTCTTAGACGGGGCTTTTTGGGTGATCATTCTCCCATGAACAAACAGTGATGATCCATGTAATTCGATGTAATTTGGGTGTATGTAAGGTCGTTTTTTCCATAATTCTGTCGGGTGCTGTAAGGTCGTTTTTGTTTTGTTTTTTGTTCGTTCTCCCCCCATGAACAAATAGGGATGATGATTATTTTCATGGTGAGGGGTCATATAATGTGGATATCATGGAAAACTCGTGGACTGCGAATGGAATGCTAAACATCTTCAACTTGTCAACACCCAGACGAGGCACCAGAGGATCCTGCCGGTTCCAAAGAGATTCCATGGTCTGCCCGTTGAGAATGGCAAGTTGCATGATCATCCTGCCGTTTGATGAACCGGGAGACACCGTTTGAATGGGAAGTTACAGTTCAGGAACCTGCTGAACCAAAGAACTATATGTTGTCCCAAGACATGTCATGTTACAGCACAGGAATGCGGCAAGGATCGGCTTGCGGCAAATGCTGAAACAGGATGATGGTCGCTGATATGGATGGGGGAGGTAGTTTGCACCCTCGGCACTGGAATTTTGGCATGCAGCAGAGATGTTTTTTCGAAGGATCATGTTCTTTTTTGACTTTATTGATTAAAAAAAAAACAGAACCCGCTAAAGGTCAGAAAGTCGCTGGTCAAGTGCAAAGTTGGCCCATAGTTTGTAAGTTGGTTTATAACAACTCATAGAATCAGGGCTTATGACGGATTTATCTAAAGCTACCTTGGCTTGTGGACCAATCTATAATTGGGTGGTCCTCTTTGTGTGTCCCCTGCATGCCTACAAGCGCCACCAAGCAACTGAATATCTCCAGGAGCGCCATCAGATGCCCGCAACGCCGTCAAGAGAATCTCTTGATTGCCCTGAGATCGTGCTAACAGTCACCCATTAGCAGAGGAACTGAAAATTTGTTGGAAAATCCCCCAAATAATCATAGATAATGGTTGTTAAATGGTGATTCAGGTAGTAGTATAACCCCCAAAATATCATCAGCCAACTGGAATTTCTTGAAACTGTTCACATGCAACGCGCAGAGCACGAAAAGAAAGAGACATGGGCAACGCTGACCCTGGATGTCTAAATGCGCCGATTGGCCAGCCCGATTTTGACAAGACTCAATGTCCCATTTTGACTAGACAATGGTTGATGGTTGGGCCACCCCAAGTGGGGATGAAAGCAAATGATACTTGCAAACACCAGGAATACACTAACCACGTCAAAGATCCCTGATAGAACTTGGCAAAAACAAAAAACATCCACAGGGTTCCTTACATTCACTTTGAACACATCACCTTCGGGGGATTCAGCACCATTTGATAGTCTGATTCTTTCATATGGTCAATCTAATCATTGATCTGATTTTGTTCCATGCCAGCTTGGAGTTGGTGGTTCCCATCCAATCGGATCTCCCCTACCATGGACTGTGAATCTGATTCACCACCATAGAAAACCACCACTGCAGTCCCATCCCGGGGAATTCAGGGTGAAACCTCCGCATCGTTGCAGGCTGGTTGCTGAAGCTGGGCGTCTGGCCAACACTGCCTGGTGCTGCTGCAGCAACGCAAAAGGCCGCACCTAATTTGGACCAAGGCGGAGCAGAAGTTGTCTGGGGTCGTAGCTATTTTTGATGATGGTTATCATTATTTATACTAGGTAAATATAAACAAGAAATATGGCAATTTAGCCTCTATCATTACCTATGGTGATTCGTTATATGGTGATTTGCAATAGCGAACTGTTAAATTTCCAGAGGGTATCTATAGGAATTGCAAATACAATCACCAAATATCACCAAATCATGTGCGCACCACCTGAACGGTTCGAGGAACCCTCTTCGAATCCAATGGGTGCGTTGTGAGCAGCGTAACCAGTGGTCAAGATGCGTTGTGAAGTTAAGATAAATGTATTGTGACTGTAAAGGGAATTTCATTTGGACATTCTCCTCTTCCTTTTTTCTCATGTACACTTTATCTGGCCAGACCTTTCTACATCTTGTCTCGGCTCATCCCACCCTGTCTCATCTTCGCTCCTCGTCTACTATCTCATCTCTCATCTTATCTCAAGAAATCTGATCTCATCTCATCTCATCTCACTTCATCCGAGGAACAAAACTCCGCTCGTCTTTCTTTGTCTCACCACATCAAATCCCATCTCGCGCCTTCCGTGCCTATTCTCTCCTATTCTCTATCATCTCTAGTCGTATGCATGAGTCTTTATTCTCATACCATTGTATCATGTCTATTCATGGTATCTATGTCTATCTTGTAATGTTCCCATCTCATCTGGTCTCACAGTCGTAGCACCCAGTAGGATTCAAACAGCCATTTCAATGCGATTTACAATGCGTAGAGGAGAAATCCATGGAAATGAAGCGAAACAAACACAGTGCGCCAGAACTCCAACAGCATTCCACAGCATTTTGCATACCACCGCTCAAAAACAAAATGGAACTATTGATGCAAGTGAGATAAGTACATGCGATGTGATAGTGTGAGATATGTGACGTAAGTGACATTTGCAATTGAGTCTGTGGTACTAGTGTAATTTGAGATCGAGTGTTATCTGAAGATAACTATAATGTGTAGCGTAATTGATGCTAACTGCAAGTCGAAGTTATTTTTAATTTGACGTTGAATGGAATGTGAAATTATGTGATGTGTAGTTTGAAATAATGTTATTTGTAGCTTGAAATTGAGTGCAATTTGAATTGATTCTATATGACTTGGCATTATTTCCAAAGATTTGAATCTGAAGCAAAAGGTCATTTGAAGTTGGTATGATTCAAAGTTCATTGAAATATCAAGTTGAGTGTAGTTTCAAGTTAGTTAGAGTTCAAAAATATGTGTACTGTAATAGGACGTAAAAGGTAGCTTGAAGTTAATTATAGTTTGAAGTGCATTGCAGTTTGAAGTTATCTGTATTTTGACGGTTGCTGCAACTTAATGTTTGTCGTAATTAATTCCAATGTGCTTGTAATTGAAGGGCTAATTGCGACTTGAAGCTAACTGTATTTTTAGTTCAACGCTGTTCTCAATTGAAATGTATTGCAATTTGAAGTTGGCTGTAACTTGAAGCCAACTGTAATTTACTTTGTCCATGACGAAAAGTAAACCACCAACCAGTCGTGTATCTATGACCCAACATGTTTAACAGGTATGAATGATGACCCATCCGTGATAGAACCATGTATATAGAACAGACGTATGAACCATTTTTGCCTTACCTGACTGGGGGCCATTGAATTGGTCGCTTCTATTTACGGGAAGCCGACTGAGAACGCAATTAAACCCGGAAGACGATGACTATGCCAGTCACGCGGGAGATACCTTCCCATGTTTGGGCTGTGGTCCCCGTTGCCGATCACAGCGGCTAAGGAACTTCTGCCTTCGCGTTGGCCTTCGCTAAGGCTTTGCTGCGCGGGTCGTGAGCATGTAGCACCTCACAAAAGGTGCAAAAAAAGGTTCTTTGGGCACATTTCTGCCTGGTATTGACTTTGACTACTGTAAGATTTTAGTAATATATTCTTGCTGGTTCAACAAATGAATAGGAGGTGGTGATTGATGCTGACTTCCAGAGTCACCAGTCACCAAGTGCCACACCTTCAGATTGGACCGCTGGGCAGCCAGAGCCAAATCAGGGCACCCGACAATGCCTCACACATGGACAGGGCACGCGTGTAACCCCGCGACAATCTGCAAACAGACAAGTTTATCAAGGTTTCATCTGTAATCCATCCACATCTAGGGCGGGGACATGTATGTAAGCCCCTATTCACCTTTTCGGGCCAGAACATGGCAGAACGGCAGAACCACTATTTTACTTTTTGGACATGTTCGAGCATGACAGATCGTAAAGAGGCCTCATCGCATCCTCTCCTTGAGAAAAAAGAAACGACTGATCGCTGAGATCACTGAGATCGCTGTAGCTGAGGTGCTGAATTTGCTCAAGGCGAGGTGGGATTCTCCCACCTTGATGATGGGTAAATCAACGAAGATCTTGAGCACTTCTGGATCCATGGACTCGTTCAAGTAGGCTTCACAGAGCTTCTCCTAACGGATAGCACTCGAGGGGCAGGATTCCATGGCAGTTCTTGGAAGCCTGATATTGTCTCTTACTCAACTGTCAACATGAAATTCAGTTATTCAAACACATCATTAGAAGACATGTTCCACCTTTATCCACCTTTATCCACCTTTGGCATCTGACAAAAGGCCTCTCCTTGTGTTCATCCAAAGCAGCTTCCACTTGCAGAAGGTCGTTCATCCGAAGCCACTCCACATGTTTCGCGACATGCCATGGTGTACTTCCCGCGAAGGCTGCGGGTACTGGATCCAAGGCCAGCTGACAACCAACGGCCAGCAAGGCTTCTTCTGCTTGGTTTGGGGCACCTCCAGTGGTACCGAAACGTAGAGAAATCACAATGATTTCAGCAGCGAAAAAAAGGATTGGACCAACAGAAAAGGTGGATTTCGTCCACAAGACTTGGGAAATGCTCAGCAAAAATGCTGGTTTAAGCATCAATTTTGACCAAAACCGGTGAAATGAACAACCCAAACAATCCAAACAGCTATTGTTTCTAAGTGTGTGACCCATACATGACCCATACCCAAGATCCGAGTCATCGCCTGCCAGCACACAATGCTCTCCACACGGAACGCTGATCTGCTGGATCTGCTGGATCCGTTGGTCCCAACGGCGCGCTCGGATCTTCAGCTTGCCGACCAGCTGTGGCAAGTCCTCCTCTTGTCCTCGATAGGCTCCCAGATTCAGCAGATGCCAGAAGTGGGCTGCGTTCACGTCTGAAGGGCTCAGGGCTACATGGGCAATCCTCAAGGCAAAGCTTATTTGGGATCGCTGGAGGAAAACTGTACCACTGGGATTTGTTGCAGTTGATGGATAACATGTTGCAAAGTTGGACCAGCCCACCTCCAACTGGCACAAATTCTTAAGACTTTCAGAAACACGTCAAGAGTTCTGGCAAGCTTCAAGTGTGGCCTCAAAACGCCCAAGGATTCATCAAAATGCTTCTTGAACATGTAGTTGGGCATAACCACCTTCTTGGAAGGTTCGCCGCCTAGAATCAAGTCGCGAAAGGCCTTCCGTTCAGACTCAGAGTCACCCTCAATGTACCAGGTCCACCCCTCAAAATTGCCATAGCTGTCATCTTCTCGTCGCAGAAGATGTACAGAGTCCCGGAAGCTGCGAGCCAAGACTTCCTTGGCGTCCTCGAAACCTGCAGGGGTTTTCCTAAGGAGAAGTGGTTCCTGCGACTCCAAAATCAGATCTTTTGGAAAAAGATCACCAAATGTGATCCACACCTTGTTAAACCCAACCATGAATCCCCTGCTAACATCGTGGCTAACGATGGTCATCGCGGTCTGACCGAACCCAAATATGTCTCAGGAAAAACAACCATACCCCCACACCTTCAAACAGCCATTTGCACGCAATTTCAGCGTTGACCTGTGGCTCTGGCAGTCCACGAAAGCCTTGCAAGACATCCGTGACGTCTGGCTCCGGAATGTTCAAGCTGGCATCCTGTGCAAAGAGTTCTGCCAGCTCTTTTGGAACCACCACCACCTGTAGTTCATCCACCAGCCACCGTTGGAACTTGAAGGCATACCGCAACAGCTCCGGTCGTGGTGCCGCGCGGCATTGCCGCAGACTGCGGCCCTGGATCTCAAAACGATTGACCAAAGCATCTGAGAAACGCCTGACGTCATGTGGCACAGGAGCAAACTCTGGAATGATCCAAGCTATTGGAAGTGGAAAAATACGAGGAATGTCTATAATATCACTTGAAAACAAACTGAAAACAAGTGAACCGCCAATGCAAAGCCCCCTGGTTGAAATTATCCTAACGAGGTGATTCCATCCGCGGATAGTAACTGGATAAAAGAGGCCATGTGACCTCAGAATAGCTGGGATAGATCGGAGATGACCCACTTGCCACTTCACCAGGGATCCGAAATTTGGGGAACAGATCAGCCCGGTACTTAGGCCGCAATCGTCACTGGTGAATATCAACCACACATGTTGGGCATTCCACAGAATCATATTCCGTGGCGTACTGCCCCAAATTTGAACCCTGCCCGGCGACGTTACAATGTCTTCTGGCCACTGTGGGGAACGTGACTTCTAGGGACCCATGTTGTCCACACATCCCCCAAATAACGGCCACGTATGTAATGTAATGTAATGTGATGTGATGTAATGTGATGTGATGTAGTGTAGTGTTGTGTTTTGTTGTGTTATGTGATGTTATGTTATGTTATGTACATATATATATATACATAACATTATATATATAATATTATATATAATGTTATGTATATATATATAATGATATATATATATATAATGTTATATATATATATGTGTGTGTGACCGATGTCTATAATACAAATTATATCATATCTTATATGTGCACTGCTTGCCCTCTAATGGGCATACACTTGCCCCTTGCCATCTTCCACATGAACCACGACTACTTCTGCCCCTGTCGCACCTGGCCAGGTCAGCTCCACGTTGATGCTGCAGCACCTGCCGAGGTACCAACTCGTGCCAGAAGCGCCGTTTGGCGGCCCAGATGTGCAGAACCAGATCCACGGCCACCTCAAAACAACAAAGGGATGGGCCGATGGAGAAGAGTCACGTGGAGACCCACATAGAAATCTGGCAGAAAACCCAGTTAACTGGGGGCAAGATCAATGAGAAAGAGCGATTTCGCAGGGAAACATGGGAGCAAACGGGCCCACATCCCTTCGTATGACCCAATGACTTATAGAAAGCAAGGTGCCCACGTGACCACCAATTCGTAGCAATTCGGTTATATCATGTTACATCTACTGCTGACAGATCCTGGTGCCAGGTGACATTTGCCAACGTGTCCGTATCTTGATGGGAGCACATGGATCCCATGGCCATCCTCTCCAACTGCCTCTGCTCCACCCCAAAGACATGAGCACCTGGGCGTGGACCACGGCAGATACGGCACGAAATTTTTCCAGAGGAAAACACAGACACATCCTGCAAGCCCACCTGGAAACACATCCGGAGATTGTGGCACTAGGCGAGCTCCTGTTCCCACACTTGGCTTGAAGGCCTTGAAGGCCCCTCTGTAGTATTGCCTGCACGCCACGGCGATGGAATTTCGCCAGCCAACCCACCACTCAGACTCTGTCGGCTTTTCTTTCTCCTGTCGAACGTTTCCGACTTGCCGAAGGAACCCCGGAAGTTGTCTGAAACTGGGGTACCTCAAATTCCCATTGACTGTCATTTTTGTTAGCATTTAAATACTTGAAAGTTTAAATTCTGGGATATACAATGATATACAAGGTATACCGGTATACCCATGTATATTTGGACAAAACCCCGCATCATGCAACTTCATCTGCCTTACGCCTCAGCAAGGTAGAATGCTCATCCTGGGCATTTCAAAATTTCAAGCCAGTCCTCAGCATTCTCGCCAGGGGCGGAATCCTCTCCAAAGCTGTCAACCTTGACCTTCCATAATTTTCTCCTCTCTATGACCTTGGCCGGTGACACTCAAATGCTCCGTGGAAATGCAACCGCTGAAATACATGAGGAAACACAACTTGCGAATGAGTTGCCAAGGATGTGCAAGGATATTCTGAGAACAAGAATTGTGAACACACCAGGATGATTTCAGTCCCCAAGACAAAAAAAAAGGTCCCGTGTTGTTTTTCAACGTTTTTTCACATCCGAGCTTCAGAAGATTCCGTGTCCACCCTTTCCAGGATCTCACCGGAAAAGGTGCAAAGGCGATCAAGGCGATTTGGCGCTTCCACAATCTCCTGGATCTGGATCTCTCCCAAAGTCTTGGTAAACAGAAGCCAGTCTTCACCAGAAGCCACCTGCGCACCGCTAAGCCACTAAACGTATCAGATTCCAAACGAAGTGAGTCTGGAAAAAGCCATGGCACGAAATTCAAGACCCATGGGAATTTGGGGATAGCTCAAAACCATTCAAAACCTTTTTTTACCATGGGGGAATCTGGCTATTCCATATATTATTCCTTAAGCTATAGGATACCGTCCGGGGGTTCTGGCTCACAAAAAAAGGCCTCGGAGATTTGCTGCTGCAGATCCGTCCGAAGGCGCTCTTTCTCCATCAGAGACGTCCCCGGCATGGCGTCTCGCAAGGCGAAGCGTAGCACAGTGATCTTCGTGTGTCCAGAGAAGAGATCGGCATCGGAGGCCAGTCCTGTTTCGAAGGGTTTGAACTGATCAGGCCACGTTTTGCTGAGATCTTTGGAAGATAAGCTGAGCCAAAATCCACTTCGACATTCTGCCAGACCTTTCAAGTAGCCACTAATGCCACTGGCATCACCAGAGAGCAGCGGGTCCACGAAGACAGCGCAATCCTCACTGACCACTGACACCACGTCCGAGAAGACGAAGAGTTTGGCCCACTTGGGATTTAGCTCACGCAGGCCTGATGCAAACCCTACTAGTAAACAAAACCCCTCACCTGTGTGGCAACCTTGGGGAAAATGTTGGTAGTAGTTAACTATAGTATAGTTAGCTTCGCTGAATTTGAGTCGACAATGAATCAAAGCTCCATGTGTCTTGTGCCTCATACGAGTACGTCCACTGTACAGGGTATCCCAGCATCCCCCAATTTTGGACACCCCAAAACACTACATACTCGTCAGGCATCGGTGAAGTTCTGCTACAACCGCCTGGCGAAAAATACCTCCAATGATTGGGACGCAATAACAGCAATTTGTGTCGATATCGCGTGATGTCACCAGTCTTTGGGGTTCCAAAATCATCCAAAATCCCAAGAGTGATCACTTCTCACCATTCATATGAGCCATGGTCAATACTCACTATATGGTTGATGGTCATCCCATCCATAATAAGGATTCTTATAATGGTTATTATAAATCCCTATGAACCATTGGATGACTAGCCGCTATTAATGGGTATTAACCATGAGTATTGACCACAGCTCATATGTGTTGCGTGGCTCCCAGATTGTGGTGCCTTGCCACTCTTCCTGGCTCAGAGGAGCATCGAAGGCCACGTGGATGGCTGCGTCTGGCAGGGCCGCCATGGGAGCCATGGGATGCCCCCTTGACCCACTGAGCATCCCCAGGTATCTTGCTATCCAAAACCTGTGAGCAAGTCCAAGCTACACTCACTATCTCACCAAAAGGTTGTGCGAGATCGCATCAGTTCATACCATGTCATACTAACCTGCGATCCAAAACCGTTCATCCTGCGACATGCCCGACATGCCTTGTAGTCGTGCCATTTGCTCTGTGAGTAACGACCTGTCACTGTGCTGTCGCCAATCCAAAGTGAAGTGAACCCGAGTTGCTCCAGCTGAATCCGCCACTTGCAGAAGCAGTTCCAGCCTCGCTGTCTGCTGTAAGGCTGGAAATATTGGGGAGCAACCTGAAACTCCATGGGACGCTGAGTTGAACCATTCTGAAACTTCTGAAACCTTGTAATGGTGCGCTGAAAAACCTAGTTTTGATTCATTGATTCATGGAATGTCTGGAGATCATGATGAGGGACTCTCAAACAGCTGGCCAATCACCATGTCGAAATATTTCAGGAGGCAGTTTGAGGCTGAAGGCCCAAAGTCAAGCCCAGATCCCAGAATTTCAAGATATTTCAAGATATTTCAACCGCTCCCTAACCAGATTCACAGTCCAGCCACACTGCACCCAAGGATTTCTCCTGGTTCTGGTAGGCCCTCTGAAAGTTTCTGAGGACTTCGGTCTCCTGATCCTGATCCGGGATCGATTCATTCAGGTAATGTCGGTATGATCCATATGTTGATGGTTGATACAACCAAGGTATGGTAAATCTGGGGTGATTTTAAGTTTACCATTGCTTTACTCACAATATATGTATCCAATGTGTATGTGTATATATATATATAAGTTTGGCGATTCAGCTGTCTTTTCCTGCTGGGAACTATCTTCACAGGCATCGTCAACCACATCTGCAAGGCATGTATCATGCCAAAAAGAGGTACAACTGATTGGCCGGCCATTGAAAGAGTTAAAACTCTTGACCTCTAACATCGAAAGCCACACAGGCTTCCACAACAGGGAAGGGAAAAGCGCAGCGGGGAGGGCCCCAAAAGCTGCGTCAAATCGCAGACTCACAAAACTTGAAGGACAAGTTTGGCGATTCAGCTGTCTTTTCCTGCTGGGAACTATCTTCACAGGCATCGTCAACCACATCTGCAAGGCATGTATCATGCCAAAAAGAGGTACAACTGATTGGCCGGCCATTGAAAGAGTTAAAACTCTTGACCTCTAACATCGAAAGCCACACAGGCTTCCAATCCTTTAAACGTGGATGACTGAGGTCAGCCTAGAGCTTGCACCAAAAGACTAGAAGAAGCAGCTGCCAAGGAAGCTATAAGGTCTCTCTTGTCTTGCGGTAAATCACTCAAAAGTACCTGACCCATGACATCTTGTAGGTAATGCTCAAGAGTTCGGCGACTTTGCCACCTGCCACGCCATAGGACGCGTTCGACATCCTCGGTATGGTGGAATAACCAGGACGCGCCACTGCCACGGAGACTCTTCGGAGTGATGCCCTTCATCTTTTCAGTGTAAGGGACACCCAAAAATCTGAAGATCTTATTCCAGCGCGTGCGAAAGACTCCAGGACTGCAGTTAAATAACGGCTGATCCAAGGGCATGCAACCAAAAATAGCATCAAGGAAACACACCGAAAGTTGATCACTCACTCTGGCATGCTGTCGAAGGAGAAATCTGCTAGTTTTGGAATGCCAGATACGCACATAGCAAATAAGCTCATCAGAAAGGACATCGCGTGGCAGCACAAGATCACGTCTTTTGAGTGGGAGGATTTCATTGGGTCGCAGAAGGCCATGAAAGCCCAAAAGCATAATAGATGCCACTTTTGGCCAAGACCATAAGAGGGATAGACTGACTGCTGCTTGGAAAATGGCAGCAGGCATAACCATCGATCTTTCCACCGGTTCAACTTCTTCCCATTTCTTCAAGGTTGCCCATGCAGAAGAGACCAAACCACGATATGAAGGGAAACGATCGATGACTGCATTAATAGTCTCAGCAAACTGGTACTTGGGCTTGCCCTCGTAAAACAAAAACTTCCCAAAGCCGATAAGCGCCCAGCTCATGATATGAGGTGGAAAACTGGACTCGGTGACTTCGGTCCCAATCTCCTGAAAGACCCACGCTCAGCTCGACGCTTGTTTGTTTCAGGAGCACGGTTGGCAGTGGGCTCAAGCGAAATACCTGAGCGACTAACAGCAGTGCGCCCATGTGGCCTGGGCATTAGCACTTCAAAGATTGCCAGAAGCCAAGGACATCAGCAAAATGAGCCGTGCCCAACCGTTGAATGGCCATGTCAAGGAGTCAGCGCGCCTCACCGCATCAAACTGCCTAGAGTCCCCATTGAGCAGCTGAATCAACCACTGAGGGAAATCTTCTGAAGGCTCACGCAAGCGCACAAATCGAGAAACATCATCAGATGCATTGTCACCAGTCCCCAAATGAATCAGAAAAGGATAAATATCACCCCCGATAAGGTAGGGAACAGCTGATCCCAGGTAGAAATTAAGTTGCTTACTGCTGGACCTACCCTTTGCGTTGCAACCAATTGTAACCCGTGAATCCAGCATGGCACAAAAACGGCTGTGTGGATGTGTCTTTGCCACATGTTTCAAAAGGCTCCGATACGACAGATTCTCGTTCACATTGATGTGATTTGGACGCTTGAACTCATACTGGAGCAGCTTTTGCCAGCGCAGACTTCGTCCTAGTTGGCCCACCCATCGAGCCGGAGTTGAGAAAGCCCTTGTAATGCTTTCGGTCGGCTCAACTTCCCTCATCTTTTCTAAATTGAGCGCAGCAATTTTTTCCCGAGAGCGCCTGCAAAGGGTTCTTCGTAAAAAAGCAGCCGTTATACTACATCTTCACTCCTTCACATCTGCTGATCTAGATCTTCACACCTTCACACCTGCAGATCTAGATCTTCACACCTTCACATCTGCAGATCTACATCTTCACACCTTCACACCTGCAGATCTAGATCTTCACACCCTCACATCTGCAGATCTAGATCTTCACACCCTCACATCTGCAGATCTAGATCTTCACACCCTCACATCTGCAGATCTAGATCTTCACACCTTCACACCTGCAGATCTAGATCTTCACACCTTCACATCTGCAGATCTACATCTTCACACCTTCACACCTGCAGATCTAGATCTTCACACCCTCACATCTGCAGATCTCATCTTCACACCTTCACACCTGCAGATCTAGATCTTCACACCCTCACATCTGCAGATCTAGATCTTCACACCCTCACACCTGCAGATCTAGATCTTCACACCCTCACACCTGCAGATCTAGCTCACACCTTCACACCCTCACACCTGCAGATCTAGATCTTCACACCTTCACACCTGCAGATCTAGATCTTCACACATCTATCATCTCTGCAGATCTAGATCTTCACACCTTCACACCTGCAGATCTAGATCTTCACACCTTCACACCTGCAGATCTAGATCTTCACACCCTCACATCTGCAGATCTAGATCTTCACACCCTCACACCTGCAGATCTACATCTTCTCACCTTCACACCTGCAGATCTAGATCTTCACATCTTCACATCTGCAGATCTCCTCTCGCTCTTCTCTATTCTCTCTTAAGGCGGGGGCGGTGCCGCCGGAGCGCCACGAAACGCAACCCTTTCGCACGAAATGGACGTTGGACGTCCAAAACCTAGGTAAAATTGCGATTTTGAAGCGTCGCCGGCAACACTTTCGCACGAAATGGACGTTGGACGCCAAAAACTGAGGAAAAATTGCAACTTTTATTGGTCGCGCGCAACCCTTTCGCACGAAATGGACGTTGGACGTCAAAAACTGAGGAAAAATTGCGACTTTACTTTGTCAATCGCAACCCTTACGCACGAAATGGACGTTGGACGTCAAAAACTGAGGAAAAATTGCAACTTTGAGGTGTCGCGCGCAACCCTTTCGCACGAAATGGACGTTGGACGTCAAAAACTGAGGAAAAATTGCAACTTTTATTGGTCGCGCGCAACCCTTTCGCACGAAATGGACGTTGGACTTTTATTGGTCGCGCGCAACCCTTTCGCACGAAATGGACGTTGGACGTCAAAAACTGAGGAAAAATTGCAACTTTTATTGGTCGCGCGCAACCCTTTCGCACGAAATGGACGTTGGACGTCAAAAACTGAGGAAAAATTGCGACTTTGAGTTGTCAATCGCAACCTTTACGCACGAAATGGACGTTGGACGTCAAAAACTGAGGAAAAATTGCGACTTTACTTTGTCAATCGCAACCCTTACGCACGAAATGGACGTTGGACGTCAAAAACTGAGGAAAAATTGCGATTTTACTTGGTCAATCGTAACGCTTTCGTCTGTGTAAAAGTGTCTGTGTGTAAAAGCCTCTGTGTGTAAAAGCCTCTGTGTGTAAAAGTGTCTGTGTGTAAAAGTGTCTGTGTGTAAAAGCGTCTGTGTGATGAGAGTGTCTGTGGGTAAAAGTGCCGTGTGTAAAAGCGGTTGTGTGTAAAAGCGTCTGTGTGTAAAAGCGTCTGTGTGTAAAAGCGTCTGTGTGTAAAAGCGCCTGTGTGTAAAAGCTTCTGTGCGTAAAAGCTTCTGTGTGTAAAAGCGTCTGTGTGTAAAGGAGTCTGTGTGTAAAAGCTTCTGTGTAAGAGCGTCTGTGTGTAAAAGCTTCTGTGTGTAACAGCGTCTGTGTGTAAAAGCTGTGTGTAAAAGCGTCTGTGTGTAAAAGCGTCTGTGTGTAAAAGTCTCTGCGGGTAAAAGCTTTTGTGTAAAAGTGTAAAAGAGCCTGTGTGTAAAAAGCGTCTGTGTGTAAAAGCGTCTGTGTGTAAAAGCGTCTGTGTGTAAAAGGGTCTGTGTGTAAAAGCGTCTGTGTGTAAAAGCGTCTGAATGTAAAAGCGTCTGTGTGCAAAAGCGTCTGTGTGTAAAGCGTCGTGTGTGTGTGTAAAAGCGTCTGTGTGTAAAAGCGTCTGTGTGTAAAAGCGTCTGTGTGTAAAAGCGTCTGTGTGTAAAAAAAGCGTCTGTGTGTAAAAGGCTCTGTGTGTAAAAGCGTCTGTGTGTGTAAAAGTCTCTGTGTGTAAAAGCTTCTGTGTGTAAAAGCCTCTGTGTGAAAGTAAAAGCGTTGTGTGTAAAAGTGTAAAAGTGTCTGTGTGTAAAAGCGTCTGTGTGTAAAAAAGTCGTCTGTGTGTAAAAGCGTCTGTGTGGTCTCTGTGTGTAAAAGCTGTGTGTCTGTGTGTAAAAGCTTCTGTGTGTAAAAGCCTGTGTGTAAAAGCTTCTGTGTATAAAAGTCTGTGTGTAAAAGCGTCTGTGTGTAAAAGCGTCTGTGTAAAAGCGTCTGTGTGTAAAAGCTGTGTGTAAAAGCGTGTGTAAAAGCGCTGTGTGTAAAAGCGCTTCTGTGTGTAAAAGCCTCTGTGTGTGAAAGTGTTGTGTGTGTGTGTAAAAGCGTCTGTGTGTAAAAGCGTCTGTGTGTAAAAGCGTCTGTGTGTAAAAGCGTCTGTGTGTAAAAGCGTCTGTGTGTAAAAGCTTCTGTGTGTAAAAGCCTCTGTGTGTAAACGGGTCTGTGTGTCAAAGCGTTTGTGTGTAAAAGCGTCTGTGTGTAAAGGCGTCTGTGTGTAAAAGCGCTTGTGTGTAAAAGCGTCTGTGTGTAAAAGTCTCTGTGTGTAAAAGCGTCTGTGTGT